CATATGTCTTCGGGGTTTTTTAAATCCGGTAGCCCAAAAAATTCATAGTTGTATTCGCGTTGCCCGATAGATGAGTATACCGACAACTAGACACAATGAAATGTTTTGTGGTCATAAGAGAAGAGCGGCTGTTATAACTTAAGCTCTAAGGGTTACTTTAAAAATATTAAAATAAAGCGCGATTGAGGAGGCTTGCATACCCAACTTTAGTTGCGTGGCATTTTATTTTAAACGTACACGGATGCCTTGAATTAAAAGATGGAACTGATAAAGGAAGTTCAGAAAGCAAATCAGGAGTGTCATTGGGATATTCAAAAAAAAAAATTATAACCAAAAAAAACTCTCTTTGTCGCCTACCAACGTTTTAATTGATACAGCACAGCTAGTACGAAAGGGTGATATTTTATACTAAATACTTTGATGAGCAACACTGCTCTTTCATATTTATTGCCTAACTCGTGATCAGTTTCTGAATGAGGCGTAAAACATAAGTACCATGTGCACTCACGTAAAAGTTATGTGGGTGATAGGAATAAGAGAACTCAGCAGAAAAGAAAGAAGTTCCCAAAAAAGTAAGCCTATCAAAGTAATAACAGAAACTATTCAAGTGTTAAGCGATAAAACTAAAAATTGAGCTATGGATATAATATTTATCTATAAAAAAAAGTGTCATTCTATCAAATAACGTTTTTATTTGTTTTATTGTGTACATTCGTTTGCTATACAATTTTTTAAATTTTTAGTTCACCTAAATTATTCAGTTTTTTTTATTTTATTTTATTTTTTTCATTTTTGGTAAAACAATCTGTACAATATTTACAATAAGTTTTTTTGTTGACAATATATGTATATAGCTTGAGTAAATAGCATGCGAGGAAGCCACCCATTGATAACACCCCGGTAAAATATTTAATTTTAATTTTTGCTTATGTTTTTATGTTATTAGGTCGCGATTCCAGTTTCTTTTAAGTCTGCGTGTAGAGTTGTTGGGGAAGTTGGTAGTGCACATTCGTTTTATTAGGGGGTTTGTATTTGAGTTAAGTTTTGAGTGAAATCTATTGTAGTGTAGTTTGGCAAGTTCGTTAACTGTTTTAATTAGTAAGTCCTTATGCAGGTTGTTGTTGGTTATATACCAAGGGGCATTAGTTAGCATCCGAATCGAAATGTTCTGGAATGCCTGTATTGGACGTATATTTGAGGGCTTTGCAGGCCCCCAAATTTAAATACCATAAGACCATACTGGTCTTATAATAGACTTGTAGATCAGCATTTTAGTTCGGAGTGGTAGTTTGGACTTGAGGAGAAGGCGGAAAAGATGTAGTCTAGCGTTAGCTTTTTTTCTTTTATCCTTGAGATGGGGACCCCAAGTTAGGCGCTTATCCAAAATAATACCCAGGTATTTTGTTTTGTCCTGAGTAGGGATTGTAGTATTATTGATTTTGATAGCTGGGCATATTTCAGAACGGAGAGCAAAAGTAACTTGACTTGACTTGTTTTCATTAATTTTTTTTATCTTCCAATTTCTGAACCACGACTCTATACGTTTCACATGAGCTTGAAGGTGATAGGCTGCATCGTTGATATTGGTGTGGGTTGATAATATGGCCGTATCGTCAGCAAAAGTTGGTGCTATCAGAGTATTCGTGTTATGAGGTATATCAGCGGTAAAAACGTTGTATAAATCAGGTGAGAAGCCGCTGCCTTGAGGAACACTAGCTTCGATTGAGTAGGTAATAAGGTAAATTGGCACAGCCTTGCCTTACCGTAAATTTCCTTTCTTGTAAGAACGATTTAATAATCAGGTATAATGGCGCTGGGAGCATTTTTTTTAATTTGTAGAGCAAACCGTTATGCCAGACACGATCAAATGCCTGGGCAACATCTAGAAACAGTCCGGTGCAGTATTGACTGTTTTCTAATGCTGAGACAATAGTGTCGGTCAGCCTGTGTACCTGATGGATTGTTGAGTGTTTCGCTCTAAATCCAAACTGGGTTTAATAAAAAGTTAACAATGTATAACTATGCAAATTGTGGGAAAATATTGTACTTAGTTTTAAAAAACGTATCGTTAACTTTTGTGCAATTAAGAGATTTTAGCTAAAACAGTTGAATACATGAAATATTAATGATTAGAAATAAAGTAGTTCAAAGGTTAAATTAAAAAAAAAACACAAAACAAATTACGTTAAAATTAATAACTTATTTTTGAAAAAAAACAATAAGTTATCTGAATAAACAAAAAAAAAAAAAAAGGAATCAATAAGAACTGTTTTTGTAAAGTATGTAGATTCTTATGATTTATAAAGTATGTGATGATGTGTATGGATAGGCCGGGCAAAAAGAAGGTGTTTTACAAAAAAAAAAGAATAACCAATACTTTTATTGAACTAAAATAGTTAAACTGTTGATTTTTATTATTATTAAACTTATACTATTAACACTTTTAAAATAAACTTAATTTAGAGAGGTTCTGTTATTATCTGAGGTTCTGCTATGGTCTGCTCTGAATTCCCGACTGACTAACTAGCTAGGCGATTTGCTCGTGTCAACCGACGGGCCCAGGATACCCGACACCAAAGGTTTCGACATAACCACGATCACACTTGCAATCGCCTATTAATATTACTACCAATATAATACTACATAGCATTCCAAACTATTATGAAATATTTATTAAAAAATAAATAGTTATTATGTTACACTACATCTCTCCCCACATAAGATTGGACAGTCCCTGTCAATCCTTAAAATTAAATAATTATAATTTTCTTAACTTACGGGGGCACGGGTTACAATACCGCCATTCCGTGCTTATTATCTTATATCTAATTATATTACTTACTATAATTAAATCTAAGGGGTACATAGTTAAATACTTTTTTGGGTATCTTAATTTCTAACTAAATTGACGATTCCTCGACTACATCTCGGGGTTGGTGTACAACAGATTTACGCTTTTTGTACTTGGCAAAACAGTATAAAGTAACACATAGAGTGAGTAAGATAGTAAAGAGAATTACAATTGTTAACGTGAGAATAGAATGGTTTGTTTGTATCGATTTAAAATTCTGTAAATGATTGGCTTCACTTTCGATTTCTTTCAACGATTTAGAATGTTTTTCGATTTCTATGAGATATTTATCATTCAGAGGTTCGGGAAATTTGTAATTCTTTAAAATATCTTGTTCGTCCAAGGATAGAGTGAAATTTTTAATGTAACTAACTCCTATCGGTAAGTAAAGATCTTGACTTGTAGTTTTAGTTATGGCTTAAGAAGGTATGAGAATGATTTGATTTGCATACAAGTTACATGTTTGATTAAGTGTTACCTGTCCTGTACCGTCTAATCTTATAATACGGGGTTCACCATTATTACATTTTATGGTTACGCTTTCATTTTTGGCCAAAAACAACCAAGTGTTAGTTTTGGACCAACGATTGAACATAGCGGATTTTATGGTTATATAGTGGATATTACAAAGTGTTGGTATAATTGGTCGTCCCGATAAGGGTTAAAGACTGCAAAGGGTATTAGTAGCTGTATACAATAAATGAGTATCCGGGCAAAATAATGATGAGTCTAAGACTTTACAATTTTCGAGTTGGGTTTCCCGGTAACTGTATAAAGTATTTGTGATTTTTACTGAGAGCTATTACCGAGACAGAGGGAGTAATTAAAGAGTATATATCACCTTGTTCGTGAATAGGAAATGGAATAACTTTGAAAGTTGAAAAAACATTATAGTCGATTAAAGGGATACATTGGATGAAAATAAACGTGTCATCTACCATGATCACTGAGATGGTAGAAATATGAATTAATTTGCTTATAGAGAACTGCTCTAGTCGGAACGGTAAATTTGAACCAATAGGTAGTCGGATTTGAATTTCTCGGAATTGTGTTAAATATTGTTTATGCGATAAAAGAGTTGGATGAATGTGTCCATTTATGGCGGAGTTTACTAGTTGCAACAATCTCTGAACTTGGAATACGCTTTGCGTCAACTGTAGATTAATGACGGCAACTTGTTCTACCAGCATTTCACGTGCGTCGATTTCTGACAATCTATCTATATAAATTTTATAATAAATTATAGAAATTTTATGAAATATATATAATATAAATATATCTATATAAATTTTATAATAAATTATAGAAATTTTATGAAATATATATATCTATAGAAATTTTATGAAATTTAGACATTTTTTTCATAAAAATTCTATATTTTATTATAATTTTTCTATGTATCATAAAATGTCTATATTTCATAATAATAATAAAATATAATATAGAATAATAATTATATATGTGTGTATTTCTGTGTAATATGTATAGTTAGGTCTACGTATATTCAGGTGTTGTCTAGTCAAATTATTAAGTTTAAATGAAAAAACTACAGACACGTGTCAGCGATTAAAACAATCTACGAGTAATAATATATATCATGGTGGTTTAAAATTAACTTATCTTAGAATTTTGTTTGCAGCACCCCCCCACCACTATTTTTTTTTTATATATAAAAAATTGTTCTGTGAAAATGTGGGTTAGATTAACTAAAGAGGGTCCTTGAAACTTCAACCCCAATGCGACACGCGAAGGGGATGAGTAATCTAACCCAAATTTTCACAGATTACTTTTTTATATCATAGAACAAATAAGGGGGGGGGGGAATACTGCAATCAAACTTCTAAAGTAATGTATAATGCAAGATCTTGGGATAAGTTATTTTTACACACAGGCATTCGGAGTATTATGTAAATTTTTCCGAGTTATTCCGTACCGAAATTTGTAAAACAAATTTATTTTACATTATTCCGAATAAGTTTATCTAATGAAAAAAATTAAGACTATTTCTCCTAAGTTATCACACCTATTTGTATAAAAACTAGTCGGTTATTCTTTCGTTTACTTAAGTGTTTAATATCACAAAATATAACGTTTATAAACAAATATTTGTAAAATTATTTAAAATTTATTTTTTTTTAGTTTACTATAATATAATGGGACCAAGAGTCAATCGTTTTGTCGCTAAGTTGAATTTTCAATAACTACTCATTATTAAATACTATATTTGTAACTAAACAGACACGTTAAAATGTTTTATAAAATTGTTGTTTTATTAACATGTACGTCAATGGTCAGCTGTGTTAAAAAAATTGACTTGGATGAGCATGATCAAGTAATTTAAATTTCAAATATTTTTGCTTCATTTTTTAGACCATATTATTAAAATCATAACTAAGTAAGCCGACTTGATCGCTAGATTATAAACTTTTTTTAGCGCATTTGCACACTTGCGTCAAGCCAAAGAAAATGTTACATTAGAAAATATGTGCGATAATACTTATTTATCCAAGTCTAAGAAATAATTATCATGCGTAGTATTATCTAGCCATCACGTCTGTCTAATTAATTATGACTGAATGAAACCATTATTGCCGTGTGACAAAAATATTTTATTTCATTCTAGAGACATTTAGTAGTTCATTAAAAATAGTAAGACTTATGCCGCGATTCAATTAATATATTTTTTGTGCAGCCAGGCAATTTTCTTCCAAATTATGACTGTTTATATTATTCAAGTTTATTATTGATAAAATTTGTTAATAAAATAAATTGAAAGCTTTTTTTATTTTACTTTTTTACCTCAGAATATTGAGAATACCTCAGAATATTGACGGATAAATGTTTGATATAATGACTGTGATTTATAGAAGCTATTTCAAAAGGTCAGCCAAGTAAAAAAAAAAAAACAATTTACCGAGAAAAAATGTTCGAGATATAGATTTAGTATAACAATTATGAAACTTAACTAAAACAAAATACTAAAATCAAATTAAAAAAAACGAAATTTTTTCTTATTAAATAAAAAAATAGTTTGTCCAGAAATTCCACTGTTACGTTAGGTTAAAAAATAATTAAGTGTCTATACGTAACCTTTAAAAGATGTGATTTTATATTATGGAAACTAAGTAAGTACTTTAATTTATCTTAAATAATATACTCAAATTTGTTACTCAATGTACGAAATTTAATTTTTCTAATCAATGTTTTGTGTGAAAAATATTTTTTAGGCTATATCAAATGCTTTCAATAAGACTATTGAATCTTTTAATAGAATTGATCACATTACGATAAGACAATTTTTACGAATTATCGGCAACGACCAAATAAATAGAGATATTTTGAAAACACATTTCCGGAAAAATCCACATATACATAAAAAAAACAGGAGTAAGCATTAAGTTTATTAGAATCTAAATTTCAATAGAAAGCCGCGTTAGTATTAGTTTTTTCGTATAGCCTATTTAAAGCTATTTGTGCAATATAAAAGCAATATACCATATCTTATCTTCTAATATATCATATCTAATCATCTCATGATGGCAGTATGGAGCTTTTATAGCCTGTTAAGCTTACATGACGATGATGATGATATTTATCATATCTTATATTATATCATAGAGAATACATATGAGAAGTAGCGCAAACAATTCTTATTAAAAGTTATGTAGATCTTTAAATTCGAATAATGTGTGTAGGCTACCTTAGTAGAATTGGCTGTATTTTTTTTTTTTGTCTCGTATTTTAAAAATCTTAAAATATACAAAGTATTCGTAATTTTCTTTAAATTTAATACGTCCTATTTGTTTTCAGACATTATAAATGAAGGGTTATTTTTCGATCTAGTGTATGCAGTTGGTCGTGATCGTGGTGTTTCTACCAAAGAATTGGCTTTAAAAATTATTAAACAAATTGAAAAAACGGACGACTTTGCAGAAACTTTAAAATGTGAAGAAACTTTAGATGAAGAAGTTTTAGATGAAGCTGAACCATCTTCTAGTAAACAGACATATAAATAATAATAACTATTATAATTTTAATTATAACACATTAATAAATTGAAAATAATAATTCTAATAATTTAATAAAGTAGCATGTCATCGTGTATATTTTTTTTATTCTATGTGCAGTTTTTTCCTTACTCTAAAAACTAAAATTGTAACATTATCAAAAACATTAAAATAATAATAATGTTTTATTTAAATTAATAAAACGGGTTAGTGACTAATAGTATAGATGAAAAATATTATTAATTAAACAATTTAGATTAGCCAAACAAATACAATTTATTAGTAAGAATAAAAAACTCAATAATTTTCTACATAGCCTTTTATAACTGCAAAAAATCAACATTGGATCGTGTTGCAGACCACCATCAATTAGATAGCTGTGGCCGTATTTGTCTGGTTGGCCTCAAGTACTCAGGTACTACAGTTATTTCTTGTTGGGTTAAATGTTAATGTATCGTTAAATATCAATTTGTAATACACCTTGGCATAATATATCCGGACAATTACAAATTCGGTTTTAAATCATTTTTTTTAAGAAAAAAAAGAAGAGTGAGTAATGAAAAACTCTTTGATGTGAATCTGTACAAACAAAAAATATCGATTAAATTCATTATAACGACAAAAATATGCTTAAAATTGTATTTTTTGTAAAATATGGATACGGTTGAAGTATCGGACTATAATATAACTATGGTTCACGGCGGTGTGAAGTAATATCATATAAGAGAAGTAGCGCGAAAATTTTAATAATTTAAAAGTTGTATAGATCATCAAGGAAGTAAATACTAATATAATGTGTGTAGTCTAAGTAGAGCGGATAGAATTTTAGTATAATTTAGTCCCATATTTTAAAAATGCTATAATAGTACAAATATTCTTTTGATAAAATACGTTTTGTTTGTTTTTCAGAGGGAATAAACGAATATATATTTTTCGATTTAGTATATGTAGTCGCTCACTGTCGTGAAGTTTCTATTGATTCTTTGGCTTCAATAATGAATCAAAAAATGCAAACAGTGGATTAAAGTGTAGTATTTTAAAATGTGTAGAAACATAGATGAAGCTGAATCGTCTTCTAATATATAGCCATCTAAATAGTTATAATAATAATTATTGTAATATTTCTTATATTTAAATATTTTTTTTCCTTATACAACTTCTATTTAGTACTTATGCAATTTTATTCTAACCCAAAAACCAAAAAGTTGGTAATTATTATTTATTTCTCATCATAGAAATCATTAATATTTATCTTTCTTTTCTTTTACACCTAATAATCTGATACACATGAAGTCTGTGTTCAGACATAAGACTCACAGTATTTTATAAAGTATTCAATTAAACCTATTCTACAAACAAGACAGTTAACAAAGAAGAGATGTATTCAGACCGCCGCAGAACCATCTAGAGGTACGTGAAATTCATATATAAACAAACATCAGAGTAATAATAAAATTAAAAGAAGATAGGATATTTTAATAACACACCCATATACAACTCCCACAACATATATCATAACAAACAGTTATAACATTACATTACAATATTATTTTCATCACATTTTTGTACCCATTTTATTTTATTTAAATTGTATTATTACATATTGCTTACCTTGTGCCCTAAATTTCGTCGACCTTCTGTCGCCAACTTAACCGTTATTTTCTATTGTGCTATTTGTATGCATCCGTTTCGAATCCGCTCGGACTTGGATTTACCAACTCGCATCTGAACTCAGGTCAGAGTGTAGATAAATACGAGTACATATAAATCCATTTTTTTTTTTTAGAAATTATTTAGTTCATAAATCCGTCAGGAAAAAGTAATTTTTTGTACAGTTTTTCTTTAAAAGCGATAGTAGACTAATATTTTGATTGTGATTTCAATTTCTAAATTAGTTCTGACGTCACCCTTTAGAAATCAAAACATGCTTATGTTGGGAAGTTGTATTGTTGTTTTAAAACAGTTTTTAACAAGATTGCAAAATTGAATTGAGGTATGATTTGAATTGAGGATCAAAAGCAAATGCTTACAGTTGTAAAAGAAATTTAGTAAGATGTTGCATTTACGAATGACAATCGACAAATTAATGTAGTTTGTGTATACTAGAGCTGAGACCTCGAATCGAATTTTTCGAATAATACTATTGGTATGAAAATAATTAGAATATTCGAACAGTTATCGAATTTTCGCATGAACTTCTTAATCTAAGAGGTAATATTTATTTTGACAAATTTATGTTTTTTTTGTAATTATATATCTATAAAAATTGTTAAAATATTATTTGTTGTAATAAGTAATAATATTTATTTTGTCAAAAGAATAATTCGTTATAATGATATTAATTTTGTTAAAAAACTATTAAAAATAGATCACGGACACCTTAAATGTCTCTTAATTATTTTTTTTTAATCTAATTAATCCTGCAAATAAAATGATAAAATATTCGAATATTCGAACAATCAGATCGAATATTCGAATAACCCATCGAATATTCGAATAAAAAATTCAAATTAAGTATTCGAACATTCGAATTTTTTTTATTCGAATAGTCCCACCACTAGTGTATACTATCAATTTATAAGTATTGTTTGTTGTCTTATCCGGCAGACGAAACATAAAATATTATAATGTAATCGGTGAAACTGGGTCTTACATAAGCTAGCCATACTTCTCAGTTCTTTATACCCTATCGTACTACGGTAAAGTGGCAACGCCACCACAGCTGACGGTCGTCAACACTAGACGGTCTTCAACAGATTTCTTAGTTGCATTAATCAGTGTGATTGCTCATCATGTTTGTTTCTGTTAACCTGAAGAATTCAATACCGTTTTCAGGAGGTGTGATATTTGCCAATACCGGAAGCCATTCCAAAAGGGTTGACTTTAGCGCCTCACTCATCGACCAAATGACAATATTTAATTACAACTACATTTTCTTAAAATACTGACTATTGAGCCACACGCTGAACAATATTCGACTGTAGAATATACTAGTTCTAGTGAAGCTACTCTAAGAGTATGAGCGTTTGATACCCATCCCGTCCCGGTTACATTTTTTATTATATAAATTTAATAATTCTTGGAAGTTGTTAATAAAATATTCAATTGAAGTTAACAAATTTTAATGCGTGATTATTATGTAAATTTAATATTTTGCAGAAATACTACAACACTTAAAAAATAATAAATAAACATAATAACGTCAGTAGTTATAATCTGTATGTTGACCACTGCTCAATTCCACATGATTATTTTGAGTCCTTGTACATAAATGGCTGTTCAACGCCGATCTCAAAAACTAAATCAAATGTTTTAGTATCATTTAATTACAAAAAGAAAACACAATTTCAATATTATCAAAACAGATTTTCTTTTATTACAATTTTTTCATCTTTTAAAAAGTAACAATTCAACTTTAGTTTTCATCATACAACAACTATAACATAATTGTTTTAACTTTGCAAGGCGTAGAGTTCGCACGCCACATCTTTAGGGTTTCACTCGAATAGGGTTTATAGTTGGATATGGCAAATCGAAAATATTTTTCTCCATTAATTCATTTATAATAAATTCTAGTACTTGACACAGTTCTATTTGAAGACGATATTATTTTAAAACCAGCCAATAAAATAATTAAATGAATCAAGTTATATCGTAGTCACCGGTCTGAAAAAAGTAGCAATTTTTTTTTATATTTACTACTTTACTATCCAACATTGCCTATTCTTATGTAATTTATTAAACTTTCATTTTTGATTCAGTAAAGGACTGATATATTATATTTTTTGTTACATCAGTAATAGTGTCACTACATGTATGGGTTGGTACTTGTTATCTAAAGGACTTATAAGGTTCCTATGTAAAGAATAATATAAATGGGCAATTCTGTAATAGGATGTATGCAGCATTGGCAAAAAATCTTATTTATAAGAAATATTTGATTTTTTTTTTCATAAGACCCGTGACTTCCCCACCTCAATACGTAAAGTTAACATAATATGTTATCGCAATAAAGTACTTATTTATTTATTTTGCATATGATATTCAGCTTGTTGGCAATAATAATACTAATGACAATTAAACAAAATAACGTGCACCCCAGAAGAGACGTAAATCGAGACACCCGATATGGCACCTAGCATAGGGTACTTAAAATATAAATAACTGTCCGTATGAATTTTTTTGTTTTTTAATTATGTAGATAGCACAGTTTTTTTTTATCAAATTTAAACTGTAGAAAACTAGAGACGAAATTTCCCGGTTATATGTGAACGAAACAACGGGCAACCTTTATTGAGTGCTTCATACGGTCCCTGCCCGATTTGTTTTCAATAATATTAAAAATAAAAACTATAACGATGTTTTAACAGTTAATAGTTATTTATATTTTTAAATTGAACCTGACAAGATGCAGACAAAATAATGTGGCCTTGCGTTTGCCAGTTATCCAGTGCTGACAAGTGTGGTCACTTTTCACACACTGGAGTCGCGATACGACAACTAAAACCTAGCGGCCGCTGGTCGGTCAAGTTTTCCATTGCGGTTTCATACAGGTTCTGCCAAACCCACAGGATGATCTTGTTTTATTTGTTTGTTATTTTTCAAACGAAAATCCTGTTCGCTGCTATATTCGCGTAACATCCCGTTTTCGAAGACCAAATAACCGTCTGTTGCTGGCGTTTCACATTTTTGGAATGACGAAATCGGGCAATGGCTCGCTTTTCTATTTGACATAACGCCTTGGCCTTGACGAGTCGACGGCGGACGGACTCCACTTTGAGGTCCGTCCAAGCCCATAGCTCTACGGGTCATCGAGTGTTGGTTCTCCGTGACCCCTTTACCTTTTGTAAGCGTACAATATTCTACACATTATTCGGTTATATATTCGGTTGACCGGCAATATACATATGTACGTATAATGTAAACGATAAAAAAAACGTGTACGCTTAGAATGTGAAATTTCTACTTACTTGTTGCTCGTGTTTCGTCGTACGGCAACACGTATGTGCCGCTATCGCAAACCATCAGAAAAGACGTCAGGATTATTGCGAAAGCAACGATAACCATATTAACGAAAGTTCTATGCAAAAATATGACAGTGAAATTGTCGTTCGACACTGTTTAACAGGTGTTTATCGACATAATAATATTACTACTATGGTGTCCAAGCAACATTGATGAGTTATCATACCGTCAGCTCTAAACGCACGGAAATGTCCTGTGTTCCTAGCGATATTATTTGATTTTGATTTTTAAGAGTGATTTTATTTCCCTGCAGACACTATTACCTAAACTCACTCTTTCCGGCCACCTTGATACGTTAACTTAACAACGCAATATTAAATTGATTATTGCGCATGCACCGGTTAACAGCTATAAATAGAAAATTGTACAGTGTTGACGAAAACCGTATGTTAATCAAATGTTGAAAACAGCTGTTGTTATCGACGATAAATGAACAATGATTTGTGAAAATATTTAGACATTAATAAATACCTAGAAATAGAACAACATTTAAAAAAAAAAACATCCAGAAATGAGTGGACAGTGAAAACTAATTTATTAACACAACAGTTACCCTTTAAGGTTTCCAGGATATGGATGTAATGTATTTTTTACGCCATAGAAAATGTACAAATTGTTTAACTTAAAATTACGACTCGCTAAACATTTTTAAAAAATTGTCGAATTAGACTGAATGTATATGTAAATATTCTTTACATATCTATAATACTATAGATATACATTAACAAACAAAAAACATACTTCTAGAACAGCTGCAAATATTTTTGTGCGTAGTTTTGGAATAAACGTTAAAATTTACACTGAAAACGGTAATGAATTATTAGATATAATACAATTGTGGGCATCATTGAGTGCCAGATTAAAAGCACAACCACCAGCTACAACGCAATGCACTAGGCATATTTTTTCAAATGGTAATAACTCAAATAAAAATATATTGTATTGTACATAATATGAACTATAACATTAAATAAAACAGTTGCTAGAGCACTCAAGTGTCAATTGCATTTTACCGATGTATTTATTTGACAAACATAATTCAATTAGAACTCAAAGAAGGGTTAATTTTACACAAATTGGAAAATATATTTATGTTTTAGTTTTTTTTCATCAAATGTATTGGCTACAATTTGCTAAATATTTTTAACGCATATATTTTCAACTTATGTTTAAAATGTAATCCAATGATTCCCATAAATTATAAAATTAAGTTTTGCACAAATCAATTCATATTGTGTGTTTTTTAATATTTTATAATTTACAATAAATATCCAACATTATGATATTTTGTTTTTTTTTAAGTTAATCGTATGTTTAAGGCATATCGCTAAACGTTTAATCTTTACATATTATATATAATACAAAAGGCTTTAGAGCTAAGCAGTGTAATGATATAAGAAAAAAATCTACATTTGTTGTTAAGATCAACAGAAAAATATGTAAATACAAATCATTAAAAAAAACAATAGTCCGGAAAACATTTGTTATTAAAAACTAGTCGGTTATTGTATGGTATACTTAAGAGTTATTTACCACAAAATATAATTTTGAGAACAGTGCAAAAAATTACAACAGTATTTAACGTAAACTTTTTAATGACTACACATTATTAAACACTATATGGGTAACTAAATATGCACGTTAAAATGTTTTATACAATTGTTATTTTATTAACGTGTATGCTATTTGTCAGCTGTGATAAAAAAATTAACTTGGATGAGAATGATCAAGTAATTTCAATTTCAAGTATTTTTTATATATTTGTTAGACTATATTAATGAAACCATGATTAAGTAAACGTGTTTGATCGCTAGATTACAAAATTTTATTAGCACATTCGTATACTTGCCTCCCAGTCAAGGAAAATGTTATAGTAAAACATTTTGCACGATAATACTTATTTGTCGAAGTTTGGCCACCAAAACAATAATTAATAATTTATTAAAATCAATAGAAATTTAGTTGTTCAATAACAATGACGGCTTATGCCGTGATTTAATTAATATATTTTTTGTGCAGCCTGGCATTCATTTTCTTCCAAATTATTACTGTTTATATTATTATTTTTTATCAAACTCATTAAACCGTAACAAAGAATATATATATTTCTAAAAATATTAAAATAAATTGAAGGTTTTTTATAATTTTTTTTTTTTTGCTTAGAATATTGAAGTTCAATTTTTGATCTAATGACTGTGATTTGTAGTAGATACTGTTATTATCTGCCAAGTAAAAAAAAAATCACTTTACGGGGAAAAAATATCTTTGGTAGATTAGATTTGTTCCAACAATTATAAAAGTAAACTAAAACAAAATATCTACTAAAAGCAAACAAAAAAACATAATATTTCTTATAATATAAAAAATAGTTTACCTAAAAATTGTATGGTTAAGTTAGGTTTGTAAAAAAATATATTGTTCAAAAAGTAAAAAAGACTGAAACTGAGACAAAAAAAGTGTTTATACGAAGGCTTTAAAAGATTTGATATTTGTAGGAACTAAGTAAATACTATAACTTATACTAAATAATATAAACAACTGTGTTGCCCAACGTACGGAATTTAATATTCATAATCAATGTGTTGTGTGAAAAATGTTTTTTTAGGTTATAGAAAATGCTTTCAATAAAGCTCTTAAATTTTTTAACAAGACTGATGATAATCCATTCACGATGAAACAATTTATAAGCATTATTGGTGACTACGAAGACACTAGAAAAAGTATTATTAAACACTTTAGAAAATACAAAAAAAAACGTGTTGTAGGTAAGCATTAAATTTAATTGAATAAAAATTTTAATAGAAGACGGCCTTATTAGTTTTTTTTATAATCTATTAATAGTTATTTGTGCGGGAGCCGAAACAGATTTATTATTTTCCTTTGAAACATTTTTTTTTTTAGCAACTCATTAGCTTAAATAAAATATGGAAGTATTCAAGTAGTACAATAATTGTTTCTTGTTGGGTTAAATGTTGATGTATTGTTAAATGCGAATTTGTAATTCCGCCTGCGCCCAATATAATATGTGGAGGATAACAAATTGGTTTTTAATCATCAATTTGTCGAATAAAGGGAGAGTGCTGAACATTTCTTTGATGTGAATCTGTGGATTGTACATATACAAAACATAAAATATAGGTATCATAATGACAAAAAGTGCTTGAAATCGTATTTTCCGTAAAAGGTAGATATGGTTGAAATTGATTATTTGTATAAATGGAAAAAAAAAACCTACGTATTACCTACTGTAAATCGTTTTACCACATGGGAGTTTTTTCGGCGATACCTGTATGAGAAGTAGCGCAAAAAATTGCTATTAAAAGTTGTATAGATCATCGAGGAACTCATTACTAATAATGTGTGTAGTCTATGTAGAGCGGGTAGTATTTTTGTATAATTTTGTCCCGTATTATAAAAATGCTAAAATAATACAAATATTCTTTTAATAATGCTCGTTTTGTTTTTTTGCTTTTTCAGTTTATGTAAACAAATACATATTTTTCAATCTAGTACATGCGATTGCTCGCGATCGTAGAATTCCAACCAAATCTTTGGCTTCAATAATGATTCAAAAAATGGAAGAAGTGGAGGAATCTTTAAAATGCGAAGAAACTCTAGATGAAGAAGTTTTAGGTGAAGCTGAATCATCTTCTAGTAACCAACAATCTAAATAATTAAAATTTAATAACTTACTTTTATAAATTGCATACACTATAGTCTATAAATGTAAAATTATTTTTCAAACTAGCGTATGCGGTGGGTTGCGATTGTGGCGTTTCTACACAAGAAGTAACTTTAAAAAAAATTAAACAAATTGAAAACGTGGACGAATTTACAGAACCAAAATTAAAATGTGAAGAATCTTTAGATGAAACAGTTTTAAATAACGATGAATCATCTTCTAGTAAACAAAAACAGCCATCCAAATAATTACAGAGAGTCTAATAATGTAGTAAAAGTGACATGAAATGGTGTGTGTTTATTTTTAGTGATAGTTTATTCCGTATCTAAAAAAATAAAATTATAACATTATCAAAAACATAATAATAAACAAATACGATTTATTAGCATGAATGAAATTCAATAATTTTCTACATTTTCTCTAATAACGGTGAAAAGAGAAAAATCAACATTGGATCGTCCTTGTAATTGGAGTTTATTTTTAAAATAATTTGTACCGAGTGGTGATATGTAGAACATTGTATATAAGAATTGACATATAAATCAATAAATAAGTAACATCAATGTAACAATATTATATTTGATGAGAAGCCAAGTACCTAAGTAAGCTTGAGCCTGTTAGTTGACAAGCATTAACCCTCGATAGTAGAGAATAACAAAACCCTATTCTGTGTACCTCATGGAAGTGGTACTTCTAAAATTTAAATAGGTAGTAACATATATATATTTATATTAAAATTCTAATTATACATAATTACATTTTTTAATCAAGAACAATTTGCTGAAAATGTTGACAGGCCCATAACCAGTTATAGATGATGAGTTTTGAGGTTATTAAAGTTTAAAATTTAGGACAGGAGGAGTGCGGTAAAGTAATGCACGGAGATTAAAATAAAACTATAAATTTACACTCCACCCTAAAATTATCAACGAATTTATTATTTCATAACTCAAACGAAAATATGCCTTTAAATATCTTAAAAATTAAAAAACAATAAAGAAATTATTTTTTGAATTAATTTTAACAGGTTTTTTTAAATAAACAAAAATTTACACCAGACCCAAAATAACGAACGCCCTAATATTCAGTCGTTGTCTATAATATTAATAGCAGACCCCATATACACATATTATGTTGTACAAGATATAATTACGGCGAGGTTTGTTGAGAATAAGATACAGTTTTTGAAAATATCACCTAATAGGTAGCGTCACTATCTAGATATAGATTATTATTGGGCCAATCACGTTTCAGGACTTGTTCACAGAAATAGTCAATTGCTTCTTGAAACATTTCTTCCAAAATGTCACAGTCGAAAATATTTTAGTTTAGATCGAAAATTAATATAATATAAATAGATGTCTAGGACCATTTTGTTGTACTCAAACTCTGTTTTAAAGTTATTTTAGTTCTTATATTTTTTATTCATATTACTTTACCACTATCATTTTGAGTTTTTTTTTTAACTATTTTTATTTATTATAACTTCTAAGAATTAAATATTTAAATTAACATTTCAACATGATATATTAAAAATATTGTTAAAAAAATACATGCATCAATTTTTATCACTATTTTATACACCTAATCAAAATTGTTATTTTTTCTACAAAAAAAAAAAAAAATATACTAATCAAAGCCCATTAAAAAGGCTTCGGCATATGCTAAGTCATAATCGATTTTCTTCCCTTTGATTCTTCTACCAATAGGTTCCAAATCCGCATAGCATTTGTCAAATACTTTTTCGACAGCCGCTTTAGCCTCTTCGTAGGTTACATTTCTTACGGCTAACACAGACACAGTGGCTTTATATTTAACGCAGTCCTATAAAAATAACCGCAGAATTTATGAAAATTATTGTATTATTAAAAAAAAAATTTAAGCGCAACCAACTTGGTGTTTTTTTCGAAAATTAAACATTGACGAGTGACCTTCCAACATTGACGAAACGATACCACAATGTGTCAGATTGGCTGCTCTGATTTCGGTACATGCTAAATGCTCGATGTTGCGGAAATCTAATTTACGTGTACAATAGTCGAACATGTGAATGAGCTCGTGTGTGAGTACACCTTGAACTGTTCCTTTAGTTATTGCTGTATTTTGACAAATTACGACCTAGTCAATAACAAATGGCCTAAATTAGTATGCATACTTGCAAAGTTGATGATAAGACGATTAATTTACTTGGTTCAAAATTGGATCATAACCACCATGAACAGTCGTGTCACAGAGTTCACACGCTATGTGTCTAGATGGATTTACTTCACTGGAATAAAATTATACCGGTACACTATTTAACTTTTATTTTTACGACATATTGTAAAAAAATCTATATAAAATATTATATATACCATCCTGATTTTTTAAGGGCACTGAGCATTATTTTCACTAAAGGACCTACAAAAAATAAAAATATTACAATAAAATTCATACTACGTAGAGTGAATTCAACATAAAAAATTACAATGATATATATTTTGTTCAATAGGCCCAATAAAGTTAACCAAGGTCCCAAACAAATTAATAGATTTTTTTTTTTTAGTTAGCTGTTAGAGAATTAGGTATACGTTTGTCCATGAAGTTTATCTGGGCTTTTGATTTTGTTCCTTACTATTTTTTAGGCAATGTTTTACTTTTCCTTCACATTTGACTTGTTCAATATTTTCATTCCCTCGTCCTTTAAACAGAACTTCTTTTACCGATGGCTTATAATTTCCTCTTCTTTGAGGAAACAAATCAAACCCCCATCCATCGTAATTATCAGTTTGTGACGGCTTTGGTTGTTCGTTATTTTTTTCTTCGCCCATTAGAAAAACTGTTAATATTTAATTAATGATTAATAAGATACTACAGATTTAATTATTCGAAAATGAGCTACAACTATTACAACATGGCATAAAATTAAAACAAAACGGTAGATTCTTACTTTACACAAAAACAGCAGTACGAATATAAAAACTTATTGATGTATTATATATTTAAACAATAACCATAGACAAGATAAAACGAGTTGTCAATCAAATTAAGAAGTATACTTGCGATAAAAATTATTTCATTTTTCCGGCAAAGTTGTAATTAAGGCTTAAACACACCGCATGGATACTGATAAGAGAGGACACATGCTGTTATCACATTTTATCACTTATCATAATATTGAAATGTTGAATGATAACAAAATTAATTTTTATTTTATTCATAGGTAAATATCCATTCTGAACGATTAAAATTTTTCAATTTTCGTAAAAGTAATTGCTATTATAAACTTGTTTAATTTAGCCATTATGTAAAATAATAAAACTTGTACTAAAAATACAACCCAAGTTACACAGCTTTTTTTTAGTTATTCAATTTCAAACATTTGTCAACTAAAGATATAAAATATGTATTACTTAAATTAAACTATACTAAAACACAGTTCGCTTTTCAACCCATTAATTTTTTTATAGAATACGGTTATTTCGCGGTTCAATAATCAAAATATGTAAATCCATGACATTGGTACCGGTATGGCCAATTCGAAAAAGGTCTTCGCCTTGATTGTACTTGGAATAGAAACCATAGCTGTCATTGTTTTCGACAAACGGCAAAGGATTTAAACATTCAGATTTTGCATTGTTCACGAGTTCTGGATAGCCAAACGCACCACAAGCATCGGTCGGTCCATCAATGCCATCCGTCCCTCCGCTAAAGAACATGATTTTGAACTCTTCAGTACTACTTTTATCCAAATCAATAGCTACTCTCAAAGCTAATTCTTGATTTCTTCCTCCAGCACCAATTCCCTTTACAATTACAGTAGGTTCACCGCCGCTTAATAAACACAAACCACTTTTTTTCAGCGTAGCTTGGATGACTTTACTCGTCAAATTGTCTACATTTATTTTTAAACACAAAACATTTATTATTGATATAAGGTCTTGCTTCAGTTTTTCATCGGTTTCCTTCATAAAGTATGTTTTACAAACAAATTTTATAAGGGTTGAATAAAAATTAGACACTTGCGATACGTTGCCTTGAATTGAATTCGAGAGAAGAACAGAAATATAATCGGGTTGTGAACAGTTTAAGCCAGTTTTTAAGGCAACATTGTTATTACCTATTATAAAATTATGTACTTTGGTAAAATCAATGTCGCTGATGGATTGATTTTTCTCCAAAGCACTCAAAACAGTTTTTGGAATTTTATCTATTAAATTTAATTTGTTTACTATTTCCAACGGCAGTTTGGTTGGATCATCATTGGGAACTGTCGGCCCACTTGCAATCGCGTTCAAAGGGTCGCCAATGATATCTGATAAGATTAATGCAATAACGGTAGCTTTATTAACTATCCCAATTAACTTGCCTCCTTTAACATCGGATAACGCTTTCCTTACAGCGTTTAATTGTTTTATTGAAGCACCGTTAGACGACAGCAAATTAATAGTGTAGATTTTATCAGTTAACGACACGGTCGGCGAACACAACAACGCAGAGCCTCCGCCCGATATCAAGACTATTAAAACATCATTACTGTTCAAATTTCCAATCATATCTACTATACATTTGGTGTTGTCTACAGCGTATTGATCAGGTATATTATTTCTAGCTCCTTCTAAAATATTGATTATGGAATCATCAATATTACATTGCGTACCAAATGGAACGCTTAATATAGCTTTGTGCAAACGGCCATCAAGTATTTTTTCAATCTCCAAAGCCATTTGCATTACGGCTTTTCCAAATCCGATCATATACACTTTTTCGGGTAGTGAAAATTTGCCATCGTTTACGTACAATACTTGTTTTTCACACTTAACGGAGTGTTTAATAATATTTCTAGGCAGTACGGAGTTTACGCAATTGTTGAAAATATTTTTAATGTAATTCTTCATTTTGCACTCGACATTGGATCGTCGCTAACTAGCCGAAAATCCTAAGAAACAAACATTTTAAACAATATTATTTATTATTGTATATTAAGGCTTATAAAATGATGGGCAAAGTACTGTTTGTAGTAATTACTAATTTATAGGTTCAAAAAACACCTTTCAATTGATTTGGTAAATAAACTATAGATAATTGTTAAATATAAGTGATAACATTCAACATTGTTCTTATCAAATATAATACTTGAAAAATGAGTTATCCGTTCGCCAAAGCAAAAGATGTGTACTTTCAAGTTATTATAGTAAAGAAATAAAATATTTTAATAAACCACAAAAATTATACTCTGTAACCCCTACAGAGTATTATTTTTGTGGTCGAGGGTTTATTTAAATATTTTATTTCTTTAATAAATAATAACAACTTTAAAACACATTTGGTTGATTCTTGATCAACATTTATCGTATTAAACCATAAATGTTAATTAAAAAAAGCTAAAATTAATAGAAAATGTTTTTTTTTATAATATTTTAATGAAAAAACTAAAAAATATAATCAAATTTTAAAAACTTTTTATTATATATATAATATTTAAAAAATATATAAGTAATATTTGTGCGATGGTAGTTTTTCGCTTTTGTAGACATGCAAGATAATACAACATAATGGCCGAAATAAAAACATATCACTTCAATGGAAAGAATAAACTATATAAGTTCAAAAATAAATGTTTATGATTAACATTATTATTATTATTAATTGTAGTAGTTTTACTTGTTAATAATCTGAATTAATGTTCATAAAAAAAAAATAATAAATAGAAGCAATTTTATTAAATTGTTATTATCGTAAATAAAATATTCTAACTAAAAACAATAAACGTACACATTAAGTAAAAACTGTGCGAAATTACAACTAAAACTATTGATTACTATTATTCTGATATTTTATAAAAAATAAAATTAGTTTAAGTTTAGTTGTCACAATCACATTGAAAATAGTATTAGTTACAAATAATTGTGTTTTTTCCAATGGAACAAACAATAAATACAAAAAAAAAATACATTTGATAAGTAATTTAACTAATTTGAACTCTTACTATGTCATAACAACCGTATAGGTATACTTAAACTGCCGAGTAAATCTTTTTATGGATACACAAAACAACATTTTATAACAATGAACGATCATTTTTCAAAATACAATTTTTGCGAATTGTGCACCTTGTTTTTTGGCCAATACTTTAGATTAACTATATTGACAATGTATTGTATTGTTTTAAAAAAAAATGTATAACCAGCGTGGCCATGGCAAAAAAAAAGGAAATGAATAGCTACAGAATACAAATATTACATTTAACAGGTACATAACATGTATAAAAAAAAAAATAGTATAATAATAATAAGTAATTAATCATCGTTAATAATTAATTTATATACATTTACACAAGAGTTTAAATAATATCATAGAAAAGGATTTATTAGTTTTAAATACAAAGATGTTTAGTTTTATCAGAAAAAAAAAATATTAATAGCCATATACATCATATAAAGTTAACTTAAAATAGGGCGAACTAATCTAGTTTTGGAAAGTTAAAATCTTATTCTAAATATATATTTTAAATGTTATTTGCTATCCAGTTTTCCGATAAGTTCATCACAAAGATTGGTCAGCTCTGCATTTTCCACATCTTTCCTTTCCAGCGATTCTTGCAATGATCTCACTTTGACTTCAAGGCGTTTGATCATTATTCTCATTTTGGACGTTTCAGCTTCGAATACCCGTTCTTTTTCGTTTATCTCTTCAGTGGCTCTACGAAAAATGCAAAAAAAAAAAAATCATTGGAATTGTTTTAAAACAGTCGATCATATATTTTATACGAAAATAAATAATTAATGAATAAATTACTTTTCCATTTGCTCAGTGGCATGCATTTTTAATCTCATATACTTGTCTTCATATTTTTTCAGGGATTCTTCAAACTCCATAATGCAAGTTTTGTATTTAGTTTCGTTTTCTTTCATGGCTTCTATTACTTGTTTCGAAGAATTATATTTTCTGGAGGAAAAAAATATTATTCACCTAAGTAGTAATGCATGCATTTTCTGACAAATAGAATCATGTTACAAACACGATTATTGAACAGTATGTATGATTCAAATTAGGCCGATTAAATTATGTAACCTCAAAAGACAATTTAACTTTTTTTTTTCTCATTAGTGTAAGCACATATTTTGTGTAAATCGCTTTTGGGTCGCTCATATATTAATGGCCATACTTACTCATGAACGTCGTTGAACGCCATTTCAGAGTTTTGTAGATGTCTTTCCATTTTTGCTCGTTCGTCTTCAATATATGCAATGCGAGCTTCGTATTCTTTATGAACATCTTCTTTCTTAGCTACCATGTCCGAAATGGTTTTCTCATACTCTCCAATCACAGTACTGTAAAGTTACGTCAATAGTCTTAATATTGCATCGCACTCGAGTTATGTTAACCGTTGAGAGGTTAACTTAGAATTGAAGCTAAAGAACGCTAAATAAAAGTGAAACTTTACCTGAGTTGATCTTTGCTTTTTGTCACAGTTATCAACGAAGTTGTTAGACTTTTGATTTTTTCTTTGTCTGCCAAAACATCATTTCTCAAGTTCTTATTTTCACATTCTAACTTTTCAATTTTTTCCTACAACAAAAATGTATTCTGTTATTTTTAACTATGTATTTGTTTTTTTTCTTTTTAAGTTACAATTTAATGTCTTTTTTAATCATACAACTCTTAGAAGAAAATTAAGAAGATAAATCATTTTAATTAATATAAAATAATTAACAAACTTGGTAAAATTTCTCTCTGTCACCAAGTTTAGAATTAGGACTATTTTTTTCATCTTTAGTGTAAGTTTGACTAATATTAAGATCCGATACCTGAAATATGTATTAATATCATACATTTATAAAATTAACCCGATACCAAAAAAAGAAAATAATTATAAAAATGCAATTATTGTGTACTAACATTTAGTGTCTTGTTAGAACCTTCAGATTGTGGTGAGCCCAATATCGTTTTGTCCATTACTTCGGTATTTTCGAGTGCTTCTCTTCTAAATAATAAAAATGAAAGTTATGAAATCATCCATATACACTTATGAAGAAAAAAAATGATTTTGTTTTAATCTTACCGAGAATTAGATTCTTGATTAGATTTTTTCACTATTGGATCGAATGCCTGATACAACGATTTTCTGGCTATGGTAAGTCTCCTTATTTCTTCGTCGTTTAATGATCTCACCGCTTCAAGAGCTTCTAAATCTTCGAAATTAAATCCGACTGCTGACGTAAATCCTATACACAGAATAAATTTATTAATTAATTAATGCTAAGTTAATAATCACGGTAGTCAAAACTACAAACCTGGGCATTTTTTATTTAAATTAAAATTGAAATCAAATAATTAGAAAAAACAAAAATATATTTATTTAAACAAAAACACAAATAATAAATAACCTTTTATCATTATTTCAAAATCTTTGGTGAAATCAGGCTTTATTGTTTTGAAAAACTAAATAAAAATACTCTTCAAATAACATGTTATTTTTAAATAGTTATTTTTTATTTATCAAAACATCTCATAATGGCAGTGTTGGACCTACAAGGCCTGTTAGGCTACGCCATGATGATGATTATTTGACATTAAAATAAAAAATGGCAAGGTTCAGGCACTTAAAAGTTGTATGCTACATAGCAGACAGCAGTAAACGTCTAAACGATTCACCTAACATTCTTTAAATAACCAAAATTAACAATTAAATAATAAAAACAATCAGGTACAAAATTACTGATTGGCGTTATTATTATAGGCTTCATAATTTTATTGTTACAATAATAATAGCTATTCTTTTCAATTATTATATAATGTAAACAGTAAATAGCTGATTCATTCTGTTGTTCGGGTTTCTTCAACAATTACTTATTTATTTAAATGTATATCCCAACTTTTATAATCTGTGTTAATAATGCCCAATAGACAATAGTGTCGGCAAATGAATAAAAATTGAACATACCTTCAGCAATTACCGGCCCTGCCTCGCTAGAATTTTTAGCATTGGTTTCAGTGGTATTTAGTTGCTAAAAATAAAATTTACAGCTATAAATTATGCAAATTAAACTAATGATTATACATTTCTAAACATAAATGATCATACCTGGAGTTTGATTTCTGCTTCCAAACCATCCATAGATGTATTTTTTCTGAAGCTTAAACTGTTTGAATCGGATGATTTGTTTAATGTGTTTTCTAACAGCGAATGATTTGACAATTGTGATGTATTAATGAAGTGGTTAGACTCGTCAAAATCAGAGCTAACCAAATCCAAATTCACTGAAGCTAAATTTTCATGAAACAATTCGATATTGTTACAATTTTCATTTGTATTTTCATAACCCGAAGTCACTGACAACTCCAATTCTTGGTTTTCGACACTGTCGGCAACGAAAGATCTATAAATAGAGCTGTTGTTGGACGTCACTGGTTTTCCACTATCAGAATCCGCTGAACCTGGGCGTTCTTTCGAATCAAAGTCTTCCTCAATAACAATATTTTCTGGTTTTTTCTTTATAGTTTGTGGTGTGGCTAGAGCCAAACGTTCCAACTTATTTGCGAGCTGAGAAACATTAAATCCCGCAAGTGATATATCCAAACATTCGTCTTGATTAGTAAAATGATGATCGGAAATTTCTGAAAACAACACGTTTCCTTTTTATATTTTTAATAATTTATTGAACATATAAAAAAAGTTTTAAAAAGTTCTAGCCAACCTTTTTTGCTTAGAATTGTTTTATCTTGAAATGATCTGTTTGATTCTGTTCCATTAGGTAAATTGGGCTGCAATACCGACACAATGATAATAATTTTATTAACATTTTAATAATAATAGTTTTACAATAAATTTCAATAAAAGGTATAAAACTATTTAAAATAATATACAGAACGAAATCACTTTTTTTTACAGTCATCTAAATGTAAATAAATACAAATATTATAATACTTAAAGATCATAAAGATAAATGTAAGTTATGTGTTCTTCTAGGTTCAAAGTCATTATGTGATAATCTAAAATATAGCTACTATCGTTTCAAATATTGTTATAATATTCGAAAATAATAAATGCATTCAAAATAAAACTATAGTGTTGTTTACTGAGAGAAATATTAACAGTAAAAAATCATACGCCTCCACAAACAGTCATTTGAGCCACATCATTAACATACGCCCATTTGTGACTATTGTGTATATAACATAAAAAACTTAATTTGATTTGAAGTAAACAATAATGCAATGTAAACCCTTTTAAACCAGGCGATAGATATAATAATAATAATAATAATAATATTATGTTTTGCCGATAACACAATATAATGTATCAAGTTTGAACCCGTCACCGTCATGAGATTATTCATGTTATTTCGTGCTGGTTCTTCTTTATCCGTTTTTAAGCTTTGCAATATTACAGCTGTAACAGAGATTTATGAATTTCCATTGGACCTTACCTTCAAACACACGAAGTACCATCCTAGGCCTATTTGGCAGCGCAGCATTTAACAAAAACAACATAAAAAAATAGCAACATTTTGAAAGGCGTACGGGGGAAAGTTAAACGGTTTTTACCTGATTTTCTTGGTCAAGCATCGTTTGTAATATTTGTCGTTTCTTCAGAAGTCGTGTTCTCGTTTTCAATACTACTATTCGGTCAATACTCTCGTTTTAAGCAATCACAATAGGTATTGTCCAAAAATTGGGACATTTAATAAGTAACAAAATTGCAGTGATCTGTGATAATAAGAAGTGAAACGTAAAACTGCGCCAGATACATTAACATTCGTGACAAAACGTTATCAACAAAAATAGCAGTAGAGCCGTTGGGATGAACGGCGGTACTGGTCGACCACGAACGCGGTAGCCAATGACGTTCCAAACAAAAACCCGCGAAAATATTATTAACTCTTATCAGAAGTTTAATATTAATAGGTCGATCGGACACAAATAAATACCAAAAAAACTAATAATGTAAACACCAATGAATATTTGTTCGGGTGTACCGTTTGATTATTAATTTTATATTTTCCTCGTTTTTTAAAAAATTACTCATATAAAAAACATCCTCGATCGGAAATACCATGCACTCTTTAAATATTATAATATTAATAACAGATTTTTTTTTTTTTTTTTTATATTATTTAGATATTTTTACAACTACACTCTGTTCCAAATAAGAAAGGCAGAAACGTATGGCGAAATTCGATCCGTCTCGCGTATCCCCACGCCGTACTTCACCTAGTTTCTCCTTCCATGCGCAACACGGCGGTCGCGCAGGGTGATTGACGGGTCCGGCAGTGCAGAGTATATTTGCGACATTTCGATCATCGACTATTCGGAAAAGCCGAGAAAAAAAAATACAGACCTTATACAAGGTACAAGGTTTTCTGTGCTATTTTGTTATTACACACACTATATTACAAGACACGTTTTAATTCTGTAGTGAGCCCCATCTCCCATATGGATTGTTTTTGAAACTCCATGACGAATAGGCATTATAAAACAAACAGGTACACGCGCGCGAAGGTTCGAAAACATTCCATAATATACATGACTGGGGCATAATTTAGATAATTCTAGATACATAAGAGCGACAGTATAAAAGCCGACGCTACCGCGCCGTTTATCAATTCATTCATTCAATGGTGAATCAGTTCCGTCATCAGTGCACGTGGTGTATCAGTAGCATCAAAATTATAAGTGCTTACCATTTAAATATCTGATAAAAATTAAAAAATATATGTAGACGTATATGTATTTTATATTTTTTATAATATTACACATAACATTTTAGCAGTTATACAATACACATACCTAAAACTTTAGTGTAATATACAGATTATTTAATAAAATTGTCTCTAAATTAAGTTAAATATAAAAATTCTCAACATTTTCAATTGTACACACATTATTAAAGTAAATGATATTTATAATGGTATTAAAAGTAGTAAATAAATAAAAACAATTAAATTTTTGTTGTAAAATTATAGAATTTAACAGATACAATTAAGCACTTAAAAATCACAAAAGTAAAATAAAATACAATATATTAGCCAATAAAAATAGTATAAATAGTAAAACGTTGTTATTTAACTGTTAAATTGAGTAATATAATAATTTGTACTATGATAAAAGGAAAATACTGAATGTTTACCACAAATTACTATGAAGAAACTCATCTCTTTTTACGAAACTACCGTCTTCATTTTCGTCGTACACCTTATTTATCTCCGGATATGGATTGATCTCATTGAACTGATGATCCACTCTACATAAAAAATTACAATTCTTTTTATTAAAATAATTATTGTATTGCAACAATATGATAAGTATAATAATAATAGTGTTAGCTTACATATCAGCGTTATCGCAATATTTGTATTTCATAGTAGCTGCGTCCCCGTCTCCTTGAATAATCTAATTAATAGTATTTTTATTGTTTTGTCAAGTATACTTATTACCACTACTATAACTCGTCTGCCGAGAGAACATGCCGGTTTTAGGACTGGAGACCAAGTGGCCGCCAAGGACAGTCTGGCAGGTAGGGCGTTCTCGGGGGAAACGATAGTCACACTAGGTGCAGCAGGGATGCGCAGAACGGCCAATTTTTGTCGGGTCGCAGAATGTTATCTCAGCGGACTGGATATAGTAACCAACTTAATTTGACAACTGAGACAAAATTACAAGTACTCAAAATTATGGTATTATTTGATTTAAAGTTTCCTATAATTTTGTCTGCATAACATTAATTAATCTTAAAGTATAAGTCAAGATAATTGTAAGACTAACCTCGCCCATTGTGTCGTGATGCTTATGTGCTCCATGTCGTCCAAACATCGCTTGCTTTTTGTATCCCGATGCGCTAAAAAAATAATAACAATTCAAATACTTAACAATATTCTATTATCATGCGAGTCTATATTAGCTTACCGATCATTGCTAGTTACGTTCTTGGCGGCTAAAAAAATTTAATTATACGTTACTTTTCACATTTTAACAATTATTAGTTAACACAACAATGAATTATTACATGAGTTTTCAAAAAATTCTTCGTAGATGACAAAATTGTTGCCTTGGTTGACCAATTTAGATAATTTGAAATGTTTCCACATAAACTGCATTAGTTTTTCAGTGGGTTTGTCAATAGCCAAATTCTTAGCTGTCAAGTTGACGTCCTATAAAAGTTAAAAACAGTTGATATATCCAAATAAACCATCTAATCACGCAATAAATGTTTTGATGTACCTTCAGCATAAAATCAATAAGACGCTTTCCGTGACCCTTGCGTTGCTTAGTTTCGCGAATGTAGAAGTCCAATAAACAATACACCGATGCTTCTGATCGAGCACCGACCTTGTCATAAAGGTACAACTTTTTCCATCCCATTTTCAAGAATCCCACTACTCCAAAATACCTAAAAACATAATATTATTTGATGCCTTGACAATTGTTTAATTTGAACGGAAGTCGCTTACTCTTCGGCCGGATGCTCAGTCATCACGTAAACAATGTGGTTTGAGTGCATAAGCTTTTCTGCACTAGTTACTGGCGCCTTTAACTCCTGAGCTACAGCCGAGGCATTCCCCATTCCATCTATTATCAAACCAATGGAGTTCTGTAATCTTTACAAACATATTTTCCATAATTAAGTATGAGAGTTCTATTATTAAAGTTAATACAGCAAAAACAAACATACTCCTCGTTCTGATGATTTCCAATTGCTTGCAAGTTATGATCAATTTTTACAACCTTTTCGTTGACTGACCGATTGTTATAGAAATCGCTCATCGACGAATTGTCACTGCTGTAAAATCGACATAAGTAAATTTAGTAGCATTATTAACTGTTTGAATAAAAATAATAAAGTATCAGTGTTTGGAAAGAACAAGTTTACAATTAATATCAATCTTTTACACAGAATGCATTAGATTACAAAAAATATAAGAACTCGTACAGTTTTTTATCTAACACGAATGAATGTTGACTCGGACTTCCAAACATTGCATGCAATAATTTTTCAATTTTTACCCAAAAGTACTGTGATTGCTCTCCAAGTCTCTTTTCACTGAATTTCCATCTTCATTTATTCCAAAAGCACCTAAATTCCCGGGATGTGGGTTGACTTCACTAAACTGATTATCAACACTAAAAAATTAATTAAGAACTCCATTACAAAACGTTACTCCATCACAAAAATGTATCTTTTTAATATCTACATACATGTCAGCATTGTGACAATATTTGTATTTGTTATGCTTGTCATCGCCTGCAACAATCTAAAAACAAATTCAAGGTCAATAATTGTACCTTAAAAGGACATTTTATCCAAGAGACTAACTTCACCCATTGAATCGTGATGCTTATGAGCTTCATGGCGTCCAAACGTTGGCTGCGACTTGTGTTCTTTGCCGCTAACATAATTAAACATGTAAACAGGGATACATTTATTTTAATTTAAAAAGAAAAGTATAATGAAATCTTACCGTTCTCCATTTGTCGAATTGTTATCGTTAGCTAAATAAAAAAAAAACAAAATAAATATTGCAATTAGTGAATTTTACAAAAACATGTTAAAAGTCATGAACAATTATTAATAAGTTATGTTCTTACTAGAATGTTGAAAAAATTCTTCAAAAATAACAAAATTGTTTCCTTGGTTAACCAACTTGGAAAGCTGGAAATGTTTCCACATAAACTGTAAAAGTTTTCCAGTTGGCTTGTCAATAGCCAAATTCTTAGCTTGCAAATTGGTGTCCTGAATAAAGTTAAACAAAATTATCAATTTTCACCAAAGCAAACATTAATGTAAACTTATAAACGAGTAACATTGTTCCTGTCACATTACTTTTTTGCTATTAGTTACTTGTAACTTGGTTACAACTAGTAACTGAACGGCAATAAGTAACTTATTAAATGTACAAAAAATAGTTCCTTGACAAAATATATACATTTTTAAGCAGAATTTTTATTGGTAGCAATTTTCAGTCATCAATTTTGCTTGAAATTATATGAAAATTATTTTTCATAATTATCAGGATAAAATATGATAACGAAAAATTGTTTTTATAAAAAATTACCGATAAGTATGTTTTTACATTGGGTGAATCAATATAATTTCAACAAAAAAAACTTGGTAGTAAGAAAAAATAAAAATTGGTAATAAATTAATCAAGTTAGCTATAGTCATGTAACTTGCGTGGGTAGTCGAAAAAAATTAACTTATGAAACTCCAATTACATAGCTGAAATTTGATGAAACTACTAAAATATAAATATTTTATAAAAGCCGAAACGGCTCAATGTTAATGTCAACCTTAAATTTACCTTCAGCACATGCTGTAGCAGACGTATTCCATAACCGTTACGTTGTCTCGTTTCGTGCACATAGAAATCCATCAAACAACAAACCATAGCTTCAGAACGGCCACCGACTTTGTCATAAAGATACAAATGTTTCCATCCAACTTTCAAGAATCCCACAACGGCAAATAATCTTATCGGAAACAAAATACAATTGTGCACTTAGGACAATATTAACTATAGCATTCTGTCGACGTGGATTACCCTTCACTCGGGTGTTCCGTCATCATGTACAGCGTGTGATTCGAGTTGGCAAGTTGTTTGGCACTAGTTATCGGCGACTTGAGTTCTTGGGATACAGCGGAAGCATGGCCAATGGCGTCGACAATCAACGCCATTTTCTCTTTTAAACTGCGTTGAATTAATAAAATAAACAATAGATAGGTACTTTATTCAACAAATTAACATTCGACTCAAAATTAACCGGCAGTCGTCCTCTTAGGTAGGGTAGGGTCGTGCCTCGAGAGCAGGTTTACTCACTTTTCGTTTTTGTAACATCCGTTGACGGTCATCTCTGGATCTATTTTCACTATCTCCTCTGTGGCTATTTCGTTTATAGCAAAATTAAACTCCATGTCGTTGGCTCGTTTTTCGAAAATAAATACTTAAGATAGGTACAACGGAAAATACTTCGTTAATATATCACAATAACAAAAAAGGCAGTCTGCGTACAGCCTTAGAGTCGTCGCGTGAATACAATTATATTATATTAACTGACATACCGCAATAGTGCAAACTGTAAACAACGGAGTAGTGACCTTGACACTGAATTCCCATTTCCCTTTCATCGCGATTCGTGCAGCTGTCACTTGTCGAGTTTGCTATACGCCGAACACGCAATAACATTCGCGTAGGTACCAACACAATATAAATACAACATTTTCATTCCGCCGTTGGGTAGCTCTCGTCAGGGCAAACATATGCAATCATAGATAAATATAATAAACTAGATTGCTAACTGTACGTGCCACACCAATAGAGAAGATTGAAGGGAATTCCCTTCAATCTTCAATTAGAACTTTATCACGCGAGAATAGTATATGTTTATAGCAATCACATATATATAATATTGATATAATTATGTATACAGATGTATATTATATGTATTGATAACACACATAAAACCCACCAGGATGGCGGACCGTCGGCTTCAATTCTTATCGCTAGTTAGCAATCTAGTTTAATATATATATCTGTGTATGCAATAGAGAAATGTTTCATGGAAATAAGATCCAGGCAAAATCATCCGGATACTGAACGGCATTTGGTTCGAATACGATTTTGACCGGAAATGAGCTGATTCCAATGGTAAAAAAAAAAAAAAAGTTTGTCGGTAAACGAATGCTACCAAACAATAATTTAGCACTCATCTACTTGTGAAAACCCTAGATGAAATCTAAATAAAACAAAAAATACCATCATACATGCATTTAATATAAGGTGACATTATCATAATATTATTGTTATTGACTAATGTATGCGGTCAGTGTTCAGTGTTGGATACACCTATTATTTATATAAGATCAAAGCAATTTTTTCTTCATCAGCGTTATCAAATTATGCCGAATATTGATTTTCAGAAAAATCTCTAAAAATTAAACTATCGATATTTAAAAAATCGGTAAGAATATTTTTTCAGATCTTAAAATTTGTACTTCAGCTTTACACACATTAATTATAACTTAATAAAAGTACTACTTTTCATCTAAATGGATTTTTAGAAAAGTTAAAACAAGATGTTGTGGACTAAAGTACTATTATTAAAAACGCAATAGATATTTAAAAGAAACTTAATTCATTGAAAAAAGAGATTGTTTAAAAAAGAAACTTTATTTTTCCTCTCAACATTTTTGGGACAACTAAATAACAATGAAAAAACGTATCGTCGATTTAATGTTACAGCTTTAACATATTTTGCTGAAGGGTGATATACAACTTTTTCATAATGTAAACAAGGTACCTATGATTAATTTTATAATAAAGACATGTTGAGTCTCAGTGCAAAACGTAAAAACCAAATACAATGCAGAATGAAATAGTTTGTTTTGGTATTGACAAATAAATAATTTATATTGTGTCATAAAATATAAATAGGATCCAACAGTTATGCATTTAAAGGTAACAAAAGTAAAAAAATATATAAATATATATGCTTAACAAATTATATAAATTGTAGTGTTATTATTTAAGTGCTAAATTAAGTTATACAATTATTTTTACTACTATAAAAGAAAAACACTATTAATAATATGACCAATTAATTTTAGTAGTTAACATACATACATAAAAACTTAGGTATAATATCAGATAATTTATGTGATTTGACAATAGTGTAATAATCTCTAAATTAAAGTTAAATAAAACCATCAATAGTAGTAATTGTCAATTGTTACATTATACAAAATCAAAACAAATATAAAACTATATTAACCAATAAAATTGTACAAATTATTATAAAGTGTTGTTATTTGACTGTTGAGTGTTCAGTATGCATAATAATTAATTGTACTACTATAAAAGCAAAACTCTTAAAGTTTACCACAAACTACAATGATGAATTTAATCTCTTTTTGTGAAACTAGTCTTCATTCTTGTTGTACGTCTTAAATGTCCCCGCATATAGATTGATCTTGTTGTACTGATGATTTACTTTCATATACAAATAGAAAAAAGTACAAACTATGTTATTAAAACAGTTATCACATTGCAACATTTCAATAAGTATAATAACAATAATAAAAATGTTAGCTTACATATCATCGTTTTGACAATATTCGCTTTTTAAATTAGCGGCGGCCCCGTCTCCTTGAATAATCTAATTAATAATTTATTTGTTTTATTAAGTAAATGTATTAGTTATTACCATTACTTTGTTACTATTAGCAAGACCATAGTCTGATAACCGAAAAAAAATTACAAGTACTTAATATTATCAAAATATCGCATAATTTGAAATTCCTTGTAATTATGTCGCTAAATATAAGTTATGATTATTGTAAGACTAACTTTGCCCATCGTGTCGTGATGCTTATGTGCTGCGTGTCTTCCAAACACTTCTTGTTTTTCATGTCCTGGAGTGCTAAAAAAAAAAAAATAATGTCATCATAAAATAAAAATAACATGTTTTAAAAGAACACATTATTTAACGCTGAACGAGCTCTGGAACGCATTCATAAACAAATTACATAAACTGGAATTTTGTCGAACGTCATATTTATCTAATTAAACGTTTCCAACATTGTAAAAAATAGTAATTATAAATTTTTACCCAAAAGTACTTGGATCGTTGTCCAAGTCTCCTTTCGCCGAATTTCCGTTTTCTTTACTTTCCAATGTGTTCAAAGTCTCGGGATGTAGATTGACTTCATTAAACTGAAGGTCAACATTTTCGGCATCGCCTCCAACAATCTAAAATCAAATTCAAGATCAATAATTTTACCTTAAAAGGACATTTTATCCAAAAGACTAACTTCGCCCATTGTGTCGTGATGCTTATGAGCTTCATGGCGTCCAAACGTTGGCTGCGACTCGTGTTCTTCGTCGCTCAAAGTACTAGACATGACTCGTATACGTTTATAATGTGTTTTATATATTTATTTAAATTATTATCAAAACAATTAAAAAAATAATATTATAAATTATAATTGTTTAAAATCGGTCGACAGTCGTAAAAGGTAGAACAGCGTACATTGACTAGCAGCTGTTGTACACTGTAGCCTGTAGGTATCCTTTGCTAGTTGTTGTCGTGCCACTAAAAGTAAAACGTAATAACATTCAGCTACCAACGCAATAAAAATAAAACATTTTCATTTCGCCGTTGGGTAGCTCTCGTCGGGGTAACAGACAAAAAGGAAAAACTTTCATGGAGAAAAGATCCGGACAAAATCATTTTGGCTCGAATAAAAGATTTTAACCAAAATATGTAGAAAAAAAGGTGTGGCGGTAAGCAATTTTCACCAAATAAAATGGTAGCTATATCTACTCGTGAAAACCCTGCCTACGTAAAATCTTAATTAAAAATATCATTATATAGTTCCCGCAGGCTGTAAGGTGACGTATTAGTATTATACCTATTGTTATTATTGTAACCGGTCAGTGTTAACTATTTAGTGAGTCTGCTTGTATTATGTGAGTGTATTTAGTGCTATGCATTTAAAATTGTCTACATGTTGCCTATATCGATGACTAGACTAGTGTACTCAGAATAGATTATATTCAACTATTTTTTAGGACAATTGAAAAAAATCGGGAAGTGTGCCGCAAAGCCTTCGAAGCGCCTAAATAATATAATTACTTAACTCAAAAATATAAATAAACAATTATTTTCAACATAAATTAAGTTTTTTTTTAGTTGGAAATTAAACGCGAGAATACTCTATATAGACTTTACTCCAAATGTTTATTTCTGGAATTTGTTTTAATCTGTTATACCAATGTATATTCGTATTCCAACTACGCATTTATTGTTTATGTCAATAACCCAGACAAATGTCGATTTCCCCCAAACTAATATCTAATTTGTTATTTGCGGAAGAAAATTTTGTAGAGCCCGATTACGAGTTATCAGTTAAAAACCCCTTTTCTATAAATTTAATATAATAAACATATTTTACATACCATCAACATTTTCGCATCGAAGCGTTTGTTTGATAGTGATTTTCAGTGATAACAATTCCTCAAGTCATATGACCTACACTCTATACTCTAAAGGATAGCCCGACCCCACTGTCCTAGCTTTGGTTTAACTTGCTGATATTGTTTCGGTTGCGTTCCCCCACTTGTCACGCTTTTAAGCGCACAATATTAATGTTAAATCCGCTCTGGTTATATGGATGTGCATGCTTCTGTCGCACTGGGAAACCGTACTTCGGTATAAGGAACCGCTACAGGTGAAGGCCGTACCTTTTCCCTTTCTATCAGAACAACAACGTTCAATACCGCCGAACAACCTTAACTCGAACGACATTGAAACCGTTTTAAATGGCCATTATATCCGCTCACTTTGACGGGAGTTGATGGGAGTTCATATATTGTCATGGAGCAGCCACAACCGTTGTTTTCCCTTCCATTTTTTAACGATTTTCCAAAGCAAAAAATAGTCTATAGCTAAATTGGGCGTACATTGTACAGTGCCGTTACGATGGACTGCAACGGTGGTATAAGGAATACATAATATACAGGGTGTCCCACAAATATTCGACAAATGAAACAACTTTTGTTCTAGTGAATATTTTTAAGGTTTTTTTTTTCCTAAAACTAATTTATACTCATTTTCTCTATGAACAACACGTTTTTTATTGCGCTTAACTGATTTAAATTCATGATTGACATTTTATTAAGAATATTTTGAAGAGAATTTCGACTGGTTGATAACCGGTTTTGGATAATTACTTTTAAAGTTATTTAAGGTAGAGTAATGCGCGCAGATAAAAATAACTCTAAGCGCGCATAACTCTACCACACTCTACCTTCCATCTTAAATTTTAACCTTTAATAACTTAAAAATTATTTATCCAAAACTGGTTATCGATCAGTCAATATTCTCGGCAAATTATTTTTAATAAAATAGCTAGGTATCTTGAATTAAAAAAAAAATATGAAAATTTAAACAAATAAAACAGTAAAGTGCAATAAAAAAACGCGGTGCTTATAGCGAAAATGAGTGTAAATAAATTTAAGGAAAAAATCTTAAAAATATTTACTAGAACAAAAGTTGTTTCAATTGCCAAATCATTGTGGTACACTCTGTATAGTTAAATTACACTTTATGAAGGTCAGAAGGTTTCCCTAACCTAATGTTGGAAATCGTTCAATTTTTTGTGGATCACGTCTCACGACCTTACTTTTCGTTTGCTTGTTACAAAAAAGTGTTTAAAATGTATTAGTTTTTAATGTATAATCTACAGTAAAAAAAAATTGCACTGATATAATCACTTGAAAAAAATTCTTAGATACGATGCCTGTTTTAATAGTGAATTGTATTGATAGTTAACACTTTTTTAAGTGATTTTTTGAGAATAATATTACACTCGCCCGATACTTGTGGCATTTCTGAATTAGATTGTAAGCTCTAGAGAGAGATAACGAACGTGCAAAAACAAAATAAAAACCTTTTTCTTTTTAAAATAATCATTAATATATAGACTAATTAAAATAATGATAATAATAATATTAAAAACAAAAGTAAAATATAAACAAATAAACAAAATGCGTATTACACTAGTATCGACATTTAAAGAAAAAAGTAAGAAAAAAAATAAACAACATGAAATAATGTTTTATCAAAACTTAATCAACGTGTGTAATCAATAATTACTTTAGTACCCCTACTATATATATATTTATAATAATATATAATATAATTTAGATATTATATATTGTGATCTGTTGATTATGAATTGTATCAAAATTATTAGTACAATAGTAAATCGTAAACAGTGAATATCTATATATATATATATATTTATATAAAGATTTGTTTGTACAAATACTGACTGAACATTTTATTTACAAAAAAAATTGTATAATATGAATATAATATAATAATAATAATTAAAATATCGCGATTTATGTATTTACAAAATATAAATAAATTTTCTAGACAATTTTTGTTAAGACATGTAGGCTATGCTTGCATTGTATGTCATTTTGTATAATTAAAACCACGAAAAAACAGTTTTATCCTTTAAAAAAATACAACTAAAAAAACACAATTTCATAGGTAAATAGTATGACATTATTACGTTTATATATAAAAAGCTTTCAAAGCAAAAATTCAAAGCGATAATATTTTCTATGTAATGTATTATTATCAGACGAGTATACAAAATGTATCTTTAAAAAAAGGTGAAAAAAATGAAAATTGAGCTCATTTTAATGTTTAAATTATCACATGGTGTTCTTTTTTTTTCTGCTTTTTTTTTTTTACTTTAAAAAAAAGTTGAAATTTAAAAAATTGTCTTTTTTAGTCACTAAAAATTTTAATTAGTCGATTGTATATTCGTTTCTAAACATTAATACTATAGATTGATAAAAATTTATATTTAATTTTACATTACCGATTCCAGACCGACGGCGGATTTCCAAAACGTTTTTCTGGTTGTCACTTTTTCAAAATAATAACAATAATAATAATTTAGTAAAAAAAAAAAAACACGTTCGAATGGCGAAAAATGAAACATTTGCAGAGATAATAATAATAATTAATACTATATAAAATCCGATTGTATTTCCATTTTATTTAATTAATATTTATGTACTACTATAATCGATCATAAAAATCTATAGACCAATAATTATTATTACCATCATCATTACTAATTTTTAAGTATAAAATGACCAACCTCATAATATAAAAATGTATTTTTGTTATAATAACAGAAACAATTTTTTTTTTTAAACGTTTTGAAAACCGCGTTTGGGTCCTCGATAGCTATAAAAGTGTTTTGTATATATATAAAAATTAAAATTGTTCAATAATATTACTTATAGCGAATTACACCCTGTGTATTTATAGTCATCAGCTCAGTATATGCAAGTATTTTAATTTTATTCGATAATGGGACGTTTACAATGTATAATATTATGTTCGTATATAAAAAGTCCAATGTTTATAATATAATAATATATATTTAGATATATAGTATAGTCTAATTATTTCGTTTTTTTAAACAACAAGTCTTACTGTTCAGTTGAATTTTTCATTATTAAAAATTACCTACACTATTTTTTAAAAAAAAATTATTTTATTGCTTAAAATCGTCATTTTGTAAATAGCCTACATTTCTTTTTTTTACAAATAAAATTGTTAAAAAACAATAAAACAAGATAGGTACAAGCGCAAGGCACCGATTTCCAGATAGACAGTCAGTGATTTATACATAACATAATACGTTTATGTATAGTTTTTTTTTTTTAAGAAATGTATACTATATACAACACATATGTATAAATATATTGTAAATATATGTCCTTATATAAATATAAACATTTTACAAAACAAAAATCTTGTATGCAAAGTACAACGTTAGTAATGTTGGAACACAGTTTTAACGATCGATAACTAAAATTAGAAGGTTATACATTTTAACAAAAAAAAAAAACAAAAGGTTAAACAAGACAATACCTATCCCCAAAACTTATTTACTTCTAGCCAAAAAAATTAAACTAAACAATAGTACACATAATTACTTGACATAATTTACAATAACTTTCAAAATATTATCTTACCAGATAAACTAAAGGAACATGATCGCAATATTATAATTATGAATTTATAATAATATGTGTATTAAAAAACTTGCAACATTAAACTATTATTTTTATTATTTATTTCGAGCCTACACTATTATTAGTGTTGTTTTTTGTATTTTTATCATCTTTACTTAAATGTTATACAGATTTATTAAGCATATTAGTACACATAACACGGGTGTGTGTTTCAATATTACATATACTATTTATTTAAAGAAGTTATTATTTTATTTTTTAATTGGTAACTTTGAAATCTGACTAACTAGAATATAATATATTATTATGTATGTAGGTTCTATTTATACACTGAGGTAAATTATCATAACTGTTTACTGGTAACCTAAAAATTGCTCGAGGAATAGGGATAATAATTAAAAATGACTCAGGAAAAATCATAAAGTATAATTATGTTGATTAAAAGCATCCGACTTCGAAAATACATTTGTCGTGATGGTGAGGCAAGTGACGAGAAAAAAATGCAAAAACAATAAAACGTTACAAAAAAAAAAAAATAATAATAATAAGGAAATTGTATTTTTTTTTAAATTCTTATTAAAAATGTGTTTTTTGTAAAAATAATATAAATAAATATGTATAATTTAGAGTTTTAAATGATTACCAAATTTTATTTTAATATATATATATGTGTGTATACATGTGAGTGTGTTTTTATGAAAATATAAAAGTAGTATAATGCAAAGTTTTTTACTTATATACTGGCAGTGTGTCGCTTAAAAAATTAAGTATTTAAAAAAATGAATTTACATTATTATTATAATATATCATTATGAAAACGTACAATACATTTTTTATATATTATATGTAAATATACATATATATATATATATATATAAATTATTTTATTAATTTAACTAATTTCGTTCTAAGTGTGTTACATACCTTATATATTATTTTTATACTTGATTATAGTATAATAAAAAGAAATCACAAAAGTCGAGTATTTCAAAAAGTACCAAAATAATTCATCTAGCTGTATAATAATAATATGTAGTAGCTTTTACAAATAAAAGTATTTCATTTTTGTTTTTTTGTAATATTATTATTTTAATTTTCATAAAGCAGAAACATTAAATACTGTGCGAGTACACGTTTTTTAATACGTACTTCAACTTCATACTAACAATAATAAAGGAAAGAATAAAGAACAATAATAAAATATAATTTTGTAAAGAAGAAATGTTTACTATTTTTTTTTTTGTATAGGCACCGTGCGCTCAAAATTCAAATGCTAAATTTATATATATATATATATAATATATATATATAGTTTAATTTTGTCTAATTAATACAAGGTAACCCATACTATATATATTCATATTTCTCTCTTCAACAAGTGGCTCACGTCATATATTATAATTTATATATGTATATAAGACATAAAAATACTTCCCTAGGTGAATTCTTTATAATAATAATATTATATATTTAAATAACTCCCAAGTCGTATAGGGAAAAAACTAAGTTTCGTTCGAAACACAATAATAATAATAATAATAATAATATATACACAAGTCTAAAAAAAAATTAAAATTAAAATTAAAAACAATGTCAAATATAGTTTCTAATACATCAATCGCGGTCGACCGTCATTAGTTAAAAAATAAAATATCATCAATAACGCGTAATTTACCTACAAAAAACAACATTATTCATACAACAACAGCCGTCGAGCGCCAAACCTTTTTTTTCGAAAGATTTTCTTATCCGTTTGTCTTTTTCAAAAACATGTGTATTTTGGTAACTGGTTCTAAACTGTATATATTATAACGATAATTTATAATATATGATCCGACTAGCTTCGGATAGTCGAATTCAACAGGAAAGGCACGTAAAACATTTTCGACTCCAACAAGAGTGAAGCTGCCGATTGAATCTATAAAAAAAAAGTAAACAAAATGTTATACAATGTTAAGCAATTTTGATTGTTGATCATATTATCATAATTTTTTTCAAACAAAATGGCCATCAATCCATCGTTGACAAAAAATAAATAGGCGTGCTCTCTTGTTGATTCGCGATAAAAAACAGTATCAACTGATAAAGATTCACACGTCGTAACTTTGACGAGGAATCATTTCTTTGTTGTCTACAGAATTAGTATTCTGTATAATTATTATTACAGATGGCTTAATTAGAAAATTGATAAGAACATTTTTAGCCAAAATGTGCTAACGGTATTAAGGAAACTGCACGGGTTTGTCTTGCAGAAACGCGATAAGTAAAAAAATAGTCCATATTTAAACCATTCGTGGTAGTACTTACCAAATTTGACTATTTATATTTAAGCATGGCTTAACCAATATATTTAATTTTTTAGCTAAGCTAATAAAAACGGCCACGGAAAGCGTAAAAAAACAAATGTAAAATATATAACGAAGAAAATTGCTCACCTCGGGCAATCGGTTAAGGAGATCTTGCAACCGGTTGGGTTGCATGGGGAAAGTGTGTTCCACGTACGTTTTCAGGCACGACGTGTACCTCTCCTGAATGGTTTCCAGCTCGCTGGCGGTACTGCCATTGTCTGTAACGCAAGTGTGGTTAGGTAAAGTCAAGTGACGGATTAGGTCAAGCGGTTCGCCGGCACTCACTTTGCGTCAACATGATGATGACCTTCAGGCAAACGTATTCCTCCATCCGCAGCTTTACCCTTCTAAACATTAGGGTGACGTGCGTGATCTTCTCGACCATCACGCCCACGTCCTGCCGCAGCTGATCCATCGTTATGGGTTTGCCCATCATCGACGACAGGCAGTTCTGGAGTATGCACAGGTTGTGCGACACCTCTTGATTGAACTCGGAGTCGTCGTTCCGGTCGCCGTTGACGTTGCTCGAGTTCCATATCTTCTGCGGCCCGTGGATCGCCTGGTAAGCGGACGTGGTCAACACCAGTAGCTCGTGCCACTTGTGCGTCAACAGTCTAGTGTGTACCTACAATAGAACATCAACGGTGGTTAGGATCGGCGGTCGGGTTCTTCTCCCGCTTATGACACTTACTTCGACCGGAAGTTCGAGGTAAAACGGCAGTCGCTTGGTCCACTGCACGAGTTTGTACACGATGGAGTCGCCGATCTGCATGAGTTTGGCCGACAAGTCGGAATTGTGTTCCAGCAAGTCTTCCATGTTCTGGAAAAAACAACAACACAACCGAGTTAGTCGTGCATGTACACAAATCTCGTTGTCGCAGACACTCAAAACGGGCAAAACCGTGTTTGGCCACATCGAGTAACCTCTTTACAACCGTCAACCCGGCGGGTCTCTTATTCGTTTCTCATTTCAACATAGTCTGAACATAGTTCGTTCATTACTCGTTTAAGACACTCCCGGCAACATCCTGTCCTTAATCCTAGCTAAATTATCGAAGAACGCGTAATTGAACAATATGACTACTCACGCGTACCCTAAGCGTGGCAATGTCTTGGAACTCGTCGCAGTCCACCAGGCTCTTGATCATGTTGACCGTGGCTTCGATGGAGAACGTACGGTCTCGGGACGAACTGACGGCGTTGTCAAGCCTCTGTCTGAGATAGACGACCTGCGATTGCAATCGAACCGCGCGTTAATACAAATAAAATACCAGAGTGACTTTGTGGTGGAACGTTTTATAGTTTTTTAGTGAATTGGGATTTATTAACAATTATAAGCCATGTAAGTACACGGATGGGGGGGGGGGAAGGTGACACTTACCTCGCTAGGATTCGTCAGGGCAGTCTTTAGTATGGTGCCGTTGACCAGCGTCGAAATGGACGAAGTGCTGTCCTGGTTTTCGGTTTTCATCGTGGTCATCGTGCTGGCAGTGGTACACGATACGGGTTTTTCCATTTTCACCTGACCGTTTTTGGGCGGCCTCTTCTTCTTGTATTTCACCTGCAACCCAAAGCGTTCGCGTTAGTCGCCAGCCGGACCCTTATATATTACCGTTAATTGTACGGTGACGACTCCTCACCTTGTACAGGTTGTAGACGGCGCCGGAATTCCTTCCGCCGGGCATTCGGTCTTCTCGGACAGCTAGAAAACGGATAACGGTTAGGTACGTGTCACGGGTGTACTATTGTCGTTGTCGAACACTCACCTTGCAACACCATTCCTTGGCCTATGCACTTCTTGAACCGACAATACTGACACCTGTTCCTTTGAGCTTTGGTTATCTCGCACGTGCCCTCCGCTATGCACGTGTATATCCTTCGGTTTTGGACGGTACGTTTGAAGAACCCTTTGCATCTGCGCACACACACACACAACAACACAAACGAGTCGGTCGTTATTAAATCAGATACTGAATTGTTTCGTTTCGTTTGCAAATATTGGCAATTATTATTTAATAATAATCATCCCGCGCGTTTTGTGCTGCGCGGTGTTAACGACTTCTGCCGAGCGGATGAATGGGAACACTATAACGGTGGTGCCGGTGGAGGCGGCGGGGAGCGCTCGCGTACTACACCTGCATATAACCTTGTAGTAGTAAACGAAAAAAAAAAAAAATAATAAAAAACTAAAGCCGTCGTCCTTGAGCAAGGCGAGCCGTCGGTGTACGCGCACCGTTAGGATTTGTACAGTTACGCAGTGCAACTCCGTTGAGTGTCATTTTGCGATAACGTCGTCACGAGGTTGAGTTTGAACATTTTTTTTTATTTTTACAACATGACACGATGTATTTTATGTTCACAACGTTATGCATAAAAACGTAGAACCGTCTGACGTATAACGGATCGATGGAACCAATTGTAACGGACATTACAAAACAAATCGAATTTTCCGAACGGTTTGAAGTTTATAGAATTTTTGTATGCGTTTATGTATTACACCCTTAAAGAGCATTATGATGAGTAAACAGATATAACAGTGAGAAAAAAAAATACAAAAAATCTCACAGTAATAATAGACGATAAACGTTGATATTTTAAAGTAATTAATTTAAGTACTGAGACATTGAATCATTGGAAAAAAATCAAAATTGAACACTTCATTCGCACGATACCAATACAATACATTAAGTAAACTAAATTGAACATACGTTAGAGAACTTTTAGCGATACAAAAAGGATTTTTGAAGCGTGCATTGAACCATATTATTTAATAACTTGAAAATAAATACCCTATCAGCTAACTACATCTTGATTCTAATGTAGGAATGTTAAGTTTAATCGCAACCTCACTAAATTTGATTGCGTTGTCGACATATGATAATTTGGTTTCAACTGTTTACCGTTTATTAACAGAAATTTGCAATTTATTTTTGTACACATTTTTCAGTTAGAGGAAAGTTATTTTTTTTTAAAAACCACGTGCTTTCGAAAATTGTATTTTTAGGATAATCACACAAAATACGTTTATTCAACGTGTAATATACGTTTCCTAAATCTAAATACGCATCCACTCGTAGATAATCGGTGGAAATAGTGTTAAAATTGATATTTTTCTAAATTCTAAAAAATGTACGTACAACGTACATTGTGGATTCCTTGAATAATACATGTACGAAATTATGTAAAAAAATCTACTCATTATCTTGTTCGCATTGCGGAGATGATGATTCAATATATATTGCGTTGAACTCACCCTTCGCACGTGATAATGCCGTAATGGAGACCGGTGGCCCGGTCGTCGCAGATCATGCACACCATGGGTTGATCCTGTTCGTCAGCCTCTTCCAATTGATGATACGGGTTGACGGCTGAGGGTTTGCTGTCGGCGCCGGCGTTCGAAGGCGCCGCGGGCCAACCGGCGGCTGTGTTGGCCGTCAGGTTGAGCGCGTGCATCTGTTGCGTGGCGGCTACCGGAAGTTGCGACAGGTCACCGGCCCACAACCTTTCCATGTTGAGCGGCACGTGGAAGCTCGACTGTCCGCCGACGTTGTTGGCCAAGCCACCGTTACCGGCGGCCGTATGTTGGCCGCCGTTACCGATGGGCTTCAGGCCGGGCATGTGGCTAATGACGGACGACGCGTCGTGGCCGGCGGCCACGCCGAGATTGAGCAGCAGGTGCGCCGCCGACTCTTCGCTGACCACAGGCGTCAGGGGGGACGATGACGAGGACGATGTGGCCGACGACCAAGTAGCCGCCGTCGACCAGTACGGCGAACCGGTGGCCGTCGACGGTACCGTGCCTGAGCTGGCTGGCGAAGTCGATTGTTCCACGGTTCCCGGCGGACTGGACCAGATCATCGTTCGGACGCCACCTGCGGCATAGAAAGGTAAAATCAAAAAAAAGATATAATAATAATTTTAAAAACACACTACGACTTACCGGCTTCGCCCATGATAACAGTGGGGGCAGACCGTGTAGTCCGGGGAGGTATGGCGGTCGGCGGTTTCATGTCAGTGGCTGGCGGTCCGGGGGCAGTGGCAAATCCCGCGCCGCCAATGAGTTCGGGCCGGACGCCGTTGATGCGGCACACGGAAAACACGGACGCGGCCGCCGCAGCAGCTACGGCTGCGGCGTTGGGCGCCGTCACCGCCGAAACGGTGACGGTGGGCGCCGACGGTGTCTGGCTGCCGGCGTTCCAAAAAGCGGACGACACCGACGTGACCACCGACTGCCGGCGCTGTTGGTACTGCTGCGTGACGGACGTCGTCGAGGTGTCCGAGGCGGGCGTGCTGCAACGCGGCGACGGCGGCGTCTGCGACCAAGTCATGGACGTCGGCGGCGGTGGCGGCGGCGTCTTGACCACGCAACTGATCGGGCTGGTCATTACGACGGATTCGCGTCTCTGTTGTTGCGCAGCCGGTGATGACGGCTCCGTCTTGTCACCGCAATTTTCGTAACTCGCCATCACCGTGTCTTTCTTGTCGTCGCAGCATGCCTCTTCCTTGACCCTCACCCGTTCGCCGGCACCCATGTCAGTCGATTCTTGCCCACCGTCCGTACTCATGCCGCATTCGGGGGATGAGGCCATCCTGCGTGCAACACATGTTAATCATATAAATACTGGCCTCGCTATAACTTAATCATAGAATTATTTAAATATTGTACTTAAATAGACATAGATGTAGTTAACAACCTATACTTGGCTTGTATTTATTTACAAAAACATTTCTTTTTCCATTAATGTCTCCTTTACAAAGTAACGTTGAAATATTGTACAATGTAACCTTCAGTGATTCGGTCGATTAATTATGAATTTTAACATGTTCTATTCAGATATCAATCGACAACAAATTACCAAAGTTGTCTGAAGCTTGGAGAAAAAAAAACCTCTTAGTCGTTGTTTGACCTGTATGATAAAAACCCAACCCGACCTAACTTGAACAGGCACTGACTAACCGGGTTGGAGTAAAATGATGTGTTGTTAGTTTGGCCGTTTAACTAAAATTTGGTTTTTGAGCTTGTCAAAATGTTCTGAAACCCCCTGAAAGTTAGTCGACTCCGCGTAAACTGTTTATGTAAATAATATGATTTGCTGTGTGTCCGTACCTGTCCATTGATATGATTAAACCGGGGGATGGTTCTGACCTGTCCAATCGGCTAGACGGAGATGCTGGGCCAGCGACGTCCGGTGATGAAGTACTCGTGTCCGCTATGCTTTCGCCTGTAAGACAAACAAGATATTTACACAACGTTATTTTTGTATTCTATGTTTTCAATTCATCCGTTTTTTACACAAATATAAGCACAAAATCGAATACACCGCTCAAAGGCGCCTCGGTTACACCAATTCCACCAACACATCAAGTGGATATACAATCAAACCTGATCCAGACCAAAGCCTTACCCTAACCTAAACCTCACCAAACAGTAGACATATATATATATATATATATAGAAACAGTGGACACATTTTAGATTCTCTAACGGACGGCTCACAGAGGACACCTAACCTAACCTAACCTAACCGTGTGATATTTGGATTGATATTCGGAACGATGACGATAATTTTCAATATTGACAACGGCTCGTATGATAATGATGACGTATTATGCAACGGTTAACGTTCCAAACTGACTATGGCGTTTAGCGTGTTGCGTTACAGAGCCCAGAGGTCTAGCGTGTGTCTGTTGAGTGTCTACACCTAGTTTTGGTGTTTTCCCGACCTCGTTATACTATGTTTGTTTTGCTGTTAACAGATTATAGATTTGACTCCAAATGTGACAGTCGGTGCAATCCGAGCGTTTTCATTTTACATTGTGCTGCGCGACAAGTGTTTCACATAATCGCAACCAATTTGTATCGATACTGTTCCGACTCCCGGGACGGATATAATGTCTAACTATAGAGTGTTATTATGGTCAAGTGTATTGTGGTCGGCGGTTCGAGGAAATGCAAGGGGAAAACGCCGTACTCGACCCGGGCGAGGTTCATTGTCGAAAACCGGTCAACGGGTCGGTACCGTTGTCGATTTGTATACAATATAATATTATTATACTCTGCGTGTGTGTTTACCACGAGTAGAAGAAGAAGAAGAAAAAAAACATCCCGGGATTGCGTTGTGTACAAAATGTCTATTCTTTCCGGTTGTCCGGAATTAGGTCGGGTCAGTTTCCCATGACCGCCGGGCACGTGTGCTAACACCGACGGCAAAAAGGGTTGCTGTTCCCATGACCTTAACCGTGTCGTACCTATACAGGGCTCACACCCTGTATCGATGAATTTATTGGCTACTCACTTTTTTTTTCTTTCGCCGCATACACGGCCTATGACTATATATATATATAGTATATTTTATGTGCGGGACAGAATAGAAGACAAACATTATTATCTTGTCGTCAACCGTTTACGGGTATTGGACGTACAGACGAGAAGAGTAGAAGAAAAAAAAAAAAACCAAAATATAAACGGTATCCCACACATTGTACAGGCGACATTGTGTGTCGATTTGTCTCGGTCACCATGTCAAACGGTTCCTGCTGTCAGTACAATACGTACAATATTATAATATTATTGTTGACAATTATGTGATCGGCCATAAACAGGCAGAGGAGAACCGGCCGGGGGAACTATGAGACAGACACACATTATCTGGTTACTTGGCACGAACCACAGAACAGAACCGAGAACCATTGTTATGTACCTCATTTATATATTTATCTAATCCAACAAAATATTTAAAAGTAATGTGACGGGTCAAAACTTTTTGATGGCTCTAAAATTCAAAAAAAAAAAATTCTAGTTAGAATAAAATGTATGGTGTTAATTATTTGGCTGCCAAAGCGATAAATGAAATAGTCGTGTTTACTTAAAATTTTATGTCGATACGGTTAAGCTTTTAGGTAATGATTTATTTTGAATCCATTACATAAAAAAAAAAAACGCTGTTATAAAACACAGCTTCTTAAACACACTTTTCGAATAGGTACAAGCAAATAGCAGGTTTTTTTTTCTTTACCGTTTACTTTTTGAAATCATACACTCGATTTAAATCGTGATCGCATCCTATTAAGTAAATTATAAATAACGGTGACGGCATGGTGTGTACGTAGATCGAGTGAAATATTTGAGTTAAATGTTGTCTTCTTCTTTTAATGACTGCATAATTATATTTATCGTTTTTAGTCGATATCGTTGGGTTTTCAAATATTTATTTATTGTCAAAAATATGTTGGCAAAATTAAAGCTATTATTGACCGGTGACTTCACGGTTTTAGTCAGGTTAGGTGAGTTTTGGCGTAGTCAGGTTAAGTTTGGTGGTCCAAACGTGTACATAGATTTTAAAATTTTTATATTTTCTTAGATATCTTCTTTTGATCGTTTACCATTAATGGTAACGCGTTTATTTGATTAACTTTTTTTAAATTAAGAATAATAATGTGTTTAAACTTTTGACTGGCCGATAAGCCGTTTTGGATTATTACTTTAAAAGTTACTTAAGTTTTTAATGTAGGACGGGCAGTGGAGAGCGGTAGAGCGATGCGCGTGGATAAAAATAATACTTCACTACTGCCTTCCCCCCGTCCTAAATTTTAAACTATAATAACTCTAAGCAATTATTGAAACCGGTTATCGACCGGTGAACGATTTCGGTAAATTATTCTCAATTTCGAAAAATAAAATGTATTACAATGAAATATTAAAAGACGCTCTGGAAAAAAAAAAGGTAAAAACTCGACTCAAGTAAAAAAAAGAAAACTACCTACAAATTGCTGTTATTTGAGAAAACGAGTGTCTTGTCCTTTAACGAATCGCCTTGTACCTTCGTGTTGTTATCATTTGTTTGCAATGTTTTTACACCGTTATAAGCTGCGGTTTACCTGTACTTGCGAATACACAACGCGAATATTTTACACAACACAACAAAAACACAGCCCGTTATTCTGTTCACAAGTCCGGGCGCACAACACTTCCGCTTTATAAATATCGCCAGCGTCGTGGTGACCTATATAATACCTATTTATATACATAACATACAGTGTATACCGCACATTATACATATATATATATAGGTCTATATGGAAAACACATAACATTAGAGGGTACACACGTGGCCTGCCCGGAGGTGGCGCCGCAGGAGAAAGGGGTAAGGGCGCGGTGTGGAAAGTTGGCGCACGCATAAAGCCGGCCGGCTACTGCGACTTGCAGGAGGAGGAGGAGGGGGGGGAGCGAGGGTCAGGGGAAGGGGGGAGGAGGTGCTCGCGCCGTCCAAAGCGTCTCCAAACCCGGGAGGGCTGAAAACCCGTAAAAAAAAAAACACCCCTCCCCCGAGTAGGGTTTATCCGAATAAAAAAAACAAACAAAGACAACAAAACACAAAATATTGTAAAAAACAAAATTAAAAATTAAAAGTCGTTAAGTAAATTATAAGTATAGGTATATATATATATATTTACTGCGGTACACTACTGCGTGACGAAGCAGACCGTGTTCGAGGTTTTTTTTTTTTTTTGGTCTTTATAACACTTATTATACTTGACGCCCGACGTTGGTTTTTTTTTTTTTTTAATTCCCAGTTCGACCTATGCACACAAACAAACACACTTTGTTTTAGTCGTCGGCGGTTCTGTGGTTTTAAAATAAGTATTTTAAGTAAAAAAAAAGATAAATGATATAAAAATAATAATAACGTATGTAGATAATGTTATATATGATTCAAGCTCAAGCGTTCATGCCGAATCGATACTATGTTTTGTGCATAGGAAAACAATATTAATTCAAATTGTCTAGTGTACTTAAAGTAAATCCTATAAATTGCATGTCATTTGTTCATAAAATCTTATTTATCTATTGTCGGAATATCGATCGGTTAATGTATATTAATCGCAAACAGGTCGTTAAAGTTTCACTTCAATAAGAAAGCAAATTTCAAAAAAAAAAAAATAATAATAATAATAATAACAACCCGGCCTGGATTGGACACCCCAGTCAGACTATCCGATATTATTGATGTAATTTGTATATATTAAGTACAAACAAATATATATATATATATATATAATGTTACATTCTTACCGTCACTGCTGCACCTTGAATCTATTTTGCGCCTCTTCAGTTTCAGGTCTTGAAATAGACTCATGGTACTCAGGTCACACGGGGTACTTGTTAGGGTCATAATTCCTGTAACACATAAAAAAAAACAAATTTAGTCGCGAATTGATGTTAAACAATAATAGAAATTGACGTACTGACCGACAATTTGTCGGCTGTACCGCTAAAATACCTACTGCAAAAAAGGGAAAATATTCTAAGCCTATTTCAACAAGCGCCGAGACTAAATTATGGTACGGTAATATTAATAAATTACAGTGTTAATATCTGTATTATATGGTTTCGTTTGGTGTTGAACGAATAACAATAGATAATGTTTGTAAAAAAAAAAAAAAAAATTATGTCAAATCTAAATGAATATAGTGTAATATGAAACAGCCAGTGCCAAGTGTAACGGCCGTTAATCTCCAAGAACGGCCATTAGACCCTTCTGTGACTGATATATTATACGGTGTATACTCAAGAATAGGTTTATGCGTTTATTGGAATAATCATTATTACACAATGTTTTCAATAATACGTGTATGCGTATTTTACCTCGGTTAAATAGTCGGTTAACCATGTGAACGGGTCGATATAAAATACATATATTTAATAATATATTATATAGTATTAACGTCTATATCGGCGAGCGGAGCGACGACCGTTGGCATAATTAAACGTTTCACAAAAAAAACTCAAAACAAAAAAAAAATGTATATTTATATTTTGCGGCACAAAAAAAAGGCAAAAATTTTTAAAAAATTTTTTTCCACACGCCTATCGAGGATTACACGTCGTTAAACTTAAAACAAAAATATTCGCCAAGTTTGTTGTGATAAAAAAAAAACCATTATCGTACACACAGCGGATTCCCAGGCGGAGGAACGTTTCGGGTAAACGCGACTCGTTCGGTCTTCGAACCGACACTGTCACTTTCCCTTCAAAATCTTTCTGCCGCCGCCCGTGCACCGTACACGCCCCTCGGTACCGGCAAACCGCCAGCGCCGCCGTCCGGCCCGCCGAGTGTGATGATAATATGATCGCAGCGTACACCGTGTGTGTCTGTCTCTCTCTGTGGTGCCGAAATTGGAGAAAAAAATTTTTCCAAAAAAAAAAATATATATGCGTTAAAAATCCGCGTCGACGAAAGGCGAGAGACGGGAGAAAGATCAACGGGAGTGGTAATAATAAAAAAAAAAAAATTAATATCATACACGCGCGCGCGCACACACACACACACACACACACACGACGGGAGCCACTTGTGCAATCCCGCGTATGAAATGCAAAACCGACGGCGTTTTTCATTTATTTATTTATTTTTTTTTTTTACCGCCGATGTCGTTTTTTTATTATGTTTTTTTTTTTTTTTGGTGGGACTCGGCCAATGGTAGATGAGGCCGCCGCCGGCGAACGAACGGCTTGCCCCCTGCCCGCGTACAATACACAATAATATGCCTATGCGCCGAATGTGTATATTTTTTATTTTATGTGTACCGCGCGAAGGTTATTGTAAGTGGGGCCGCCGCCGCCGCCGCCGGTGTAAACGATATTACAGAGGGAAGAGGTCGGTAACCTGCAACGGCCGTAAGTAGGTCAGCGCAGCGCCGAGTTCGCCCACCCGTCCGGCGGCCACCGCGTAACGTCGTCGTGCACGCGTACGCGCTTCGCCATTTCTACACATAACGTTATTATTGTACACTCGATTATTATCGCAACGCCATCACCGCCGCCGCGACGGTGATGGTGTCGGCCCGCCGTCACCGTCATCACCGTCGCCGCGCAGCTGCTTGTCGTTGCCTCGCGTACGCAACGCGACAGTCGTAACAATTGCATAACACACGTTTATGCTGTTCATCACCTATTCGGCCCGTTACACAGGCAGTAATCGTAATCAACATATTTGTAATCTCACCGGAAGAACTAGCGACCCTTTTGGTCTTCGCGTCATTTTCGCACTTCGGGCGGAGTGCGCGAGACAGAATATTGTGATTTTGCCTGTAACACACGCCTACCTACCAGTGGTACCACGACCCATCTAACCTCAACCTGACCTATATGACCCAAAGCGAACCCAAACCCAGCCTCTAACCGTAGGTACTAATCTATTCCAAATCTAATCTAAACCACCGACCTAAAGTAATTTTTGAATTTCTATGCTAAAATTTACCCAGAATTTTGTTTTCCCGGATCAAGCTCGATCGAGTGGATAGAGATTTGCTGAATGAAAGCAATGGGCCGCCGATCAATCATATTATTTACGTGGGATAAGGCGGTGAAGAAATGATACACGTTCAAATATTATATCAATATATATACATATTTGTTTAAAAGGGAACTGCAATTGTTGTTGTAACTTGTAACAAACTATTACGTTCAACTGTATTAACCGATAAAACTTTTTTTCTTACATTATAAAGTAGTCGAGAAAACCTACGCGATCAGTGACAACAGCAACATGATATACCGATTGTGTGTATACCAACATGTGTATAACATCTCGAGCGACTCATCAGCTGTATGTTACAATTCGTGCGAGTTGCGAAATAGGAATACCCGGACGCGCCTTTTGACCGCCTGCTGCTATTGCCGTTACTATACCGTTTTTCTATCATAATATTATATTATAACGCTATTGTATACCACTGTAATGATCACGAGTACTCCGCAGTACACGGTGTTCATTTATATAGTTTTTAATTGCTATCGCGTGTCTTGTGTAGACTGAGCTAATCGATAAGGTGTAGAATATTGTAGTAGGAACTCTGTCGGTTATTGTGTTACAATGGGGAGAGGGAAACTACCTATATAAAATGTCAGTCACTAGGGCGACCGTCTCCCCTCTTGGAAAAGGGTCGGAAAACGTTAGGGGAGGCGCTTGCATAATAACGGCATAGTGGCGAATACAATGTGTGTATTACCCGGCCGGAGTTGCAGAATCGATTTTCCGCAGCTTGGCCGCCACATTTTTGACAGAAATTATCAGAGGGAGAGATGGAAGGAGATGAATGGAGGAAGAAAGGGCAAAAGAGAAATAAAGGGAGAAAATAAGTAAAAGGGAGAGGGAGGGAGAAAGAGAGACAAAGTAGAGATGAGCACTCGCCCAGCAATGTGTTTTTGGATTATGCTTTTCTGTTGTAACTAGCACCTACGAAATACGTTTAAGTAATTTTTTACTTTATCAACTCATACAAAAAAAAAAAAAAAAATATCCATATTTTTTAAATAAAGTGAAAATGTTTTAAAAATATAAATATATTCAGTTGTATGGAAATAAAGGACCTATTTATTCTATAACCTAACTAGGCGTTTTAAGTAACGCGACAATTATAAATTTTTAAAAATATTGTTTTAAATGACACAAAGCTGTCTGTGTACATGCAATATGTTTCCTATTTATGAACTTTAAATGAGCGATAAGCCATGTTTGTTGAACGTCAATCGCCGTTTGCTTAATGTGTACACAACCGGAGTACTGAATGAACGACAACTTTTTATTGTTATTGGTCGCTACCACGGACGGGCCTACAATAATTGTTGTGTGTATAGAATATGGAACACGCGGTGTGTCATGTGTATGTGTGTGTGTGTGTGTATAATATATATTTGTATATTTGTATGTTTTAATAGCCGGCAGTAGCTGTTCGCGTGCACAGTACGTCCTGCCAATAACCATATCACAGGCCTATAACCATTCTCCATGCAGTGTTATGTATAACTAAAAAAAAATACAAACTATTAAAAATAGAAACAGAAATATTATACACGACATATATTGTATGTATCGAATTTTATTACTATATTTTTAAAGATGGGAGGGATGTCGGTTATTGGCAATCGGCATTTGTTAAATGAACATTAGAACTTTAGCACCCGGCGGCAATAATTAACTGTGTGTAATGTGTAGTTGATATAATATAGAAGGAACCAAATTGAGAAAATAGTCGCATGCGCTAGCTACTGAAATAGCCTAATTAATGTGAAATATGATCAAACTATCAAAACTAGCGTTCGAGTATTTATTTAACTAAGTTATGTAAAAAAACCTAAATTAGAAATTTACATAGTTTTTCAAACTATGATTTTGTCTTTGATTACCGGATAAATTGATTTTAAACAACAGAAACTGCTGTAATATATATATATATATGATTGTTTAGGTTTGGCTCAGTTATTTAGGTTCGGTCCGTTTTGATTAGGTTAGGTTGGGTCCGGACTGATAAGCGTGCATAGCGTGAGGAAGGCCTAAGAAAGTTTAGGTTAGTTTACCTTTCAAAATAGATTAGAAGTAGATCCTTCAAAACTATTAACTGGTCCAAAAAAAAAATATTACTAACAAAGCTGGAATCCTCTAAGTAAGAGGCTTGCTATTTTTATCATTATTAATAAGTTACACGATGTGAATTGTACAGACACACAAGATCCGTGGGCTTTGTATGATAAACTATTTTTTTTTTAAACCGGATGTGTACTTTTGCCAGTTCGATTTTGATAGAATTTTCAACAGGCGTCGCCTAGCACACTTTAACAAAAATAAATACTTCTAGTTTATAGGCCCATGCCATTTCTGCTGGAAAGGCATTCTTGGCGCACTGGACCATGACGGGAGTTGGAGGTTTTGTTTTGTCCAAACGACCTTCCGTTTCTATGAATTATAAACGTCCTCTAACTAACATCGCGCTTAGTCGTCGATCTTAGATGGGTATTTTTTTTTTTTATATTGATAATTATTCTTCCTTATAGTTTTCCCTCGGTCGTACAATTTAGTGGCTTGCCGCACGTGTCAACTTGGACACGGACAATCGAGAAGGACAGGTATGATTCATATACAGTTAACATATAACTGTGATTCTGGCGTGGGAAACCGAAATAGGAATTTCAAAGCTGCAAGTTGACCAGAAAAAATTGTCTGCAAGCGACATTGGCCCTTATGATGCTCTATCAAAGTCATTGTCTTCGGCGGGAGAGCCAAGGTAGAGCGGCGACTACAGCTAGAGAGTTATTATAGGTTAAACAGGGGTAGGTTAGGTTAGGTTTTGACCACAGCACGTTAATTGCTGTAATTGTAAACTGAATATTATGTCCGA